GGGGGGCCTGCTGGAGGATCTGGAGGAGGGGGGCCTGGAGGAGGGGGGCCTGCTGGAGGATCTGGAGGAGTGGGGCCTGATGGTGGATATGGAGGAGGTCCATATGGAGGATATGGGGGTCCATTTGGTGGCTACGGAGGAGGCTTTCCGTTACTTGGGGGGCTTCCATTGCTTGGAGGGCTTCCATTTCTTGGGGGTCTTCCTTTGCTTGGAGGGCTTCCATTTCTTGGGGGGCTTCCACTTCCTTTCGGAAGGAATGGGCGCGGATTTGGTTTTGGCATCCGTGGGACTGGTGATGGTGAGAAAGAAGATTATGGAGGAAAGGGAGACATCCCTAACCCTAAAGGAGATTATGGAGGAGAGGGAGACATCCCTAACCCTAAAGGAGATCAGGGTGAGAAGGGAGACATTCCATACCCTAAAGGTGATTACGGCCGGAAGGGAGGCTTTCCTAAACCGAAAGACAATTATGGCAGGGGGAAGGGAGACATTCCCAACCCTAAAGGAGATTATGGTGGGAAAGGTGACATTCCTAAAGGTGATGGTGGAGCTGGTGGTGGCCAGAATCCATAGCCAAACAGATGTTGGTCAACTGAACTGAGGTGTACTTTAACCATATAAATAACTAGCCTAGCTCAAGAACTTCGGCCTCTTTGGGATTGTTAGCTCATCTATAGGGCCACAGGACATTGGTGCTTTACATATCTGTAATGGGTTTGCTTTTAAATAAATTTGCCTCAGTTGTCTCTAGTCTCCCTATTTCTGCCTTGAAATCTATACATTTCTTCTCTCTTTATTTATGTAATTCTTCTGGCCATTTCTCTCCTCCCCATGTAATATAATATGTAAGATAATCTTGAGAACTTTATACCAGTGTGATTTATTGAATTAATAAAATTGTTAATAAAATTTAAACACGTTAAACCCCAATTTTAATGACAAGAAGTCCAAACCAGAAGAACAGTGACCTCTGCATTGTATTAGAGAAGCTACTAGATGCACATACAAAATCTGTTTAAATTAGATTGTAATCAACACCTGTTCACGATTACTAGTCAACCATAAACCATAAATTGAAATGAAGCTCCTACAGTCAGTAAATCAGCACAAAGAATTTGGGTGAAGATAGATTTCCTCATTGATTGCACATCCAAAAGCTAATTTGCATTAACATCTCAGCTACAAAGGCATAAAATTAGACGTAAGGTGACAAGACATGAGAGTACACATACCCCACTAACCAATAAGATTTTTCCATACAAAACACCATCATCCTCACTAGGCCTAATAAGCGGCACATATTTGAGACCAGTCATTTTAAAGTGTGGAAAATCAATTCTGCAGGCATGCCAAAACAATTCTTTAATCCTTCTTCCTCGAGAAGCACCTTACAATAACCCTGCTAAGAGAGAGAGAGAGAGAGAGAGAGAGAGAGAGAGAGACCGTGTATTAGTACTTAACAACAAGCAAAACGTAAATTCTATAACCAGAAACTGAATATATTGACTAACGAAAAATTCTCTTATACTCATGAGAAAATGCGTATTTTTTTTATGATGCTTATAAGAGAATTAGCAGTCGAGTAACTAGCTAGCACTATTGTTACCTTTAACCCCTAAAAAATTATTTTTAGAAGGCAAAAGGTACTACTACCAAAATTTGTGCTGAAGTGCAAAAGTGAGCAAACATCAATCTACTCCACCAACAAACAAATAGTCATAGAATAGAACACCGGAGCGAACTTACATCACCAATATAGGCATGAGTTGCACACTCATCTGGTCGTAGGGAGGAATACCCTAATGAGTTCTTTCATAGTTACTTTTCTCCTACACGTAGGGCATTTACCCTGTGCACCTATCGCAGCCCTAATGCACGCCTTACAGAAAATGTGACCACATTTCGTTGACATCTCCTCAACTAATGGGGCCATGCAGATGGGACAGCTAAAAGTGGGCTCCTTTGGTGGGGGAGGTGCTGGTTGTGCAACACTCTCTTTCTGCAAACAAATATACTTGAGATGAGTATGAACCATTCACACACACCAACAAAGGAATACAGTGCTCTAATTTCAGAAGACTACAATTACCGTGGAGCTGGAATTGTTACTGCTTTCCAAATTTATGTAGAAATCACAATTAATTATTGTTTGGTTTGGTGCAACTCTTCTGCGCTTGTTACGAGTGACCCTAGTTCGTTCTGCAATGATCACAGAGAGAGAGAGATGTGAGAGACACATAAAGATCAATGCTGACGAAAACATGTGTTCAAAAATGTGACCAACAAGCCACCTGGCTCTACAAACATATAACACAATAACAGCAATATGGGGCAACTAAGACTTGCCACTGACAAATTCTAGCTAAATGATGGGCAGATTTTCTAAAACCTACCCCTAACCTTTCTAGTTTAGAACAATAGACAAAGAAAATAATGAATAAAAAGTCTGTCAGCTTGTGCAGGTTGTCCAAGACAACTTTGAAGACTCTGAAACAATATGAGCTTCTCATCCTACTAAGAGCACTAGAGAAAAAAGACGAGTAGATGAGTCTGACCTTCTCTCCAATTATTTATCTCATAGGTTGCACAGCTTAAAACTTTTAGTTGTATGTAAACAAACTTCATAGAAAAATTGAAAGGAAAACATTCAAGATGTCGACTAATCTTATGAAGTTGGACAGAATGAACTAAGAATCAATAACAAATTAACGGAACAACACAGAATCTTCACAGTATAATAACAAAGGGAAATACATAAATGCCAAAAAGTTCTGATGTAATGAAATGATAAAGTTTATAATACAACAGAACAAAATTACCTAAATCCACATCAACAGTGATCCTTCTTTGGCTCCTCCTGGCATTGTTTTTAGCCTGACATTAAACATCGAAAGATTGAACTTATGTTTATATATACACATATACATACCACGTGGATGGAGATAACCACAACAAAAGGTATGTGTAAACTGAATATAAGGCATACCTCGGCAAAAGCCCTGGGGGAGGATTCAACAACATCATCATCAATAGCCTCAACATCAATCATATTAGGTGGTGCAGACTGCCCTTGCAGGGTAGCTTGATTATTCTGAGGCTCCACCGGGGTTGAAGTTCCCTCCTGATCCCGATTGTCACCAGGTGGCACACTATTGAGGTCTAAGTCCACCCGATCCTTCCTTCGGTTTACATACCTGGCCGCTCGAGTGCTCATGTTATATGTATGGTCTCCTATCCAAGATGAAGCTTGAAAAACCTACAGTTTTTCCAATGGAGTAATCTTATTCAAATACATGCTTAATTTTGTTGGAAAGCAAATGAGGAATAATATAAACAAAAAATTAATAATATACTTACATAATTTTCAATTACAGCAATAAAGGATATGACATTAAGCCAAAGAGATACGATAAGTCTTTTCTTTTCTACAACTTTCTTATCAAATATGTGGACAGTAAACTACACCGTGCCATGCTTACTCATGATCACGTTTAACTCAAGCTGGTGCACCCATTCCCATGCCTCAGATCACCATAATTAACCAAACTCCACCAAATTGTATTCAATTCTACGAAACTTGGGCATAAAATCTAGAAATGGAAACCCTAGTCACAACCCACAGACTGGTCACTGAGCATATCAAAATTGAGTCCACAATGAACCTGAATGAATTCCATAAAAACGCAGTTCACTGCAATTACACATGTACGTCCAACCAAACATGGTCTATTTCCATTGTATCTAACTGTGTGACCAAAATGTGATCATATCTTCACAACGAAGGACTGCCTAAGAATAAATCAAATCAGAATCGATTTGTAGAAAACGTTGCCAGCACATTCAAACCTTAGCAGTAAAACTATTATTTTTCAACTCAAGCATTCAACTTTCTTTAAAAAGTCGCAATTTCTAAAAATCTAACGGCTCGATAAATCGGAAAAACAGGGTGAAAATTATCGGATTCCATCAAAATCAAATTTTCCTAAGCCCCAAATAGAACGAAAAAAGAAAGATATCAAGCGCAAAAAATCAGCAAAAAGCGGTAAAAAATTTATCAAAAATAATAAAGAAGAAATCGCAGAAAGAAACCCTAGGAAACCAATAGGCACAACCAGAATCGAGATTCCGACAAGGAGAAACTGAGATTCTAACCTCCGATATTTGAAAAAGCAAACGAAAGATATAAGAACTTGATAGTTAAGATCGTACCTTTGATCAGAGAGTTTGAAGAGGAAGAAGAAGTTATTAAAGTTTTGGTTTGCCTGCGTATGGCAAGGGTTTTCAACCGGAACGAACGAAAGAGACGAGAAACACAACACGGACTTTGAGTCTCTGCGATACACGAGTCGGTGAGGGCTGAACCAGGTCCACGTGGCCTTGTACGTGTGACATATGCGCAAACGATCTCTTCCACATGTAAAATTTTTGAAATGGAAAAATAAAACAAGAAATCTTTATGATTTAACCTCTCTCAAAAAAAAAAAGAAAAAAAAAAAGAAATCTTTATGATTTAACCTCTCTCAAAAAAAAAAAGAAAAAAAAAAAGAAATCTTTATGATTTAACCAAGAGAATATATGACACTGACAGAGTAGATAGAGAGGAAAAGAGAAGAAGAAAGAAACACGATAATAAAAACCAAGGTTGGGAAACAAGTAAGAGTTGTTATTAGCCTTCCAAATTAGCACAATTTTATTATAATGGTTTTTTTTCCGTTTATAAGTTTAGAAATTCATTTCAAAGTTATTGACCGTAATTTGGACATTTTTTTCAATTGTTTCTTATGTAGGATGTTTTCCTTTATACAAACGATCTTGAAGGAGGGGGAAAAATGTTTAAGTAACGAAATTATTTTGTAAAATGCATTTTATTCAAGTTTTTTGCAGAATTTTTCTATACTATTATTTTGAAACAAGTCGTGTTATGTTACTTGTTAATTTGCGGTCATATTTGTGTCAAAATTATTCATTAACAGATCGTGCTCATATCAACCCGTTAACAAAGCATGTCATAAATTTTTTTTAAAAATGGTCCCTCTCCAGGTATATGTTTGACTCAAATTAATTTACAAATTATCTGATAGGTATGTAAAATTGGGCTTGAGTTGGGTTAGAAACGAATTTAGGTCGGGCCTCTTGAGTTTTTGGGTTGACACGATGAAGGTAAGCCCAACCAATACTTCAAAAACATGTCACCTCAAATCCTCAAATCAGAAAGCAAAGGGAAGGTAGAAGAATTAGATGATCAGGGACTCAGTGCAACAGAGTCAATAGAGGAGCCAAAAAAATTGCTTGCTCACTAGAAAAGATCAAGTTCAGTTTCTATATGAAAGAAAGAACATGTTACAAAGGCAGTAAATAAGAAAGATTGATTCAAAGAAAGAAAGAAAAAAGACAATTACATTTCTCTTGATACAGATCAAACATGACACAAACCTTTGCCAAAGTAGCAAAAAAGGGTTGAGTTAGATATGTTCTTACAAAGTTCTACATCACAGCTTCTGTCAATCTCACCATAAAGCTATTCATTTTAGCCGCCTCCAGAACAATCCATGAAGACTCAAACAACTCATGGAAGAACTCTGCACCAATCTCCTGAGCTGCATTTCTAAATGCCATTCCAAATGCGTTTCCTTGAACTGCCCCGAGTCGAGGTTTCCCACAAACCCCAACTATCAATACCTTTTTCGGCTCTTGTACCAAGCAAGCACAAACCAGAGGTTTCATTCTAGCCCCCTTCTCTCTCAGACCATCCATCAGGAAATAGCAGAATTTAGTCAATGCCTGAGGGTACCCCAACAATTTTGCGTCTAAAGAATCGTCAAGTTTCACCCACCTAAATTTCCTTCCACTTCTTATACAGCCTCTCTTGGTTATTGCCATGCTTCCTTGTCTAAGAATTGCCCTCTGTATCTTAATTGCTTGTTGCATTCCGGCTTTCAGTTTATCAAGATTGCTCAATGACAATGCATCATAAGCCATCCCAAACTCCTTGGAAGCACAAGAACCATTTGATGTCACATACGATTCAAGCAGAGCTGTAACTCCATACACCACATCTGCTGCAGATACCTTTGATCTGTAACCATGAAGCCGCAGAAAGCTCCTGTAGTAGAAATCTGTAAGTCCATATTCGGGTAAAAACCGCTCGAACTCCTCTTTCATCAGCTGTTTCACTTCCTTATCCATGTACTTGTACTTCTGCTGGCAATCCACAAGCGAAAATCCCATCCTTGCAAGAAGAAGTTTAAGCTTCTTCATCCCATTGTCACTCCATGTCTTCAATTTAGTTGCAATGTACGAAGAGCAAAGCATGGAATCGAATAAATTCCATTCCTGCAACAGCATTAGTCTAGGTTCATCTTCATATGTAATTCTAGACGACTGGGGTGCACGAATCTTCGTCCCATCTTTGAGAGTCACAGTAGTCACTGCCTCCAAATTCCCGGAACTATTAATATACTGCTCAAGCTCCATCACCCCAGCTTGGTACCTCTCATCTGTTAACCTCTCGTGCAAAAACTGATCTGTTATCGAAACACAAGCCAACCAAAGCAACTCATTTGTGTTCTTCCTCAAAGAATGTGACAGATCATACATCAAACACCCTGAAGGCTTACCATGAAAAGTACCCAAATGATAATATTTCCTCTTCAGTTCCCTAAAAATCTTGACTGGGTCATTTTCCTGAGACACCTTTCTTCTCTTTCTCGACCCTTCTCCATTTTCCTCTTCTTCCTCACTTTGGCTGTCATCATTCTCATCTTCATCACTGTCGCTGTCCGATTCGGGATCCAGCTCGTCATCACTATTCAAATCACTGGCATTAGCCAAAGCCGAAACATCCTCAATATCATATGCCAAATCTGTCTGCCTCTCATCATCCAAAGTATAGAGCACAACCACGCGATCGTTCTGATCACTCAGGTTATGCAAATGAATCGGACGGTGACTATCAACCACAAAAACACGAGCCCTGGGCCCCAAATTGAGGAGCTTCCTCAGATCCCTGTGGCAACCCCAATTGATTAAGAGAATTGAAACTGGGTTTTCGGACGAAGAACACAGATCGGGCCCTGCGTACTTGTGAATCTCTTGAAACGACGAGACCGGATAGCAGGCGTATCGGACTGAATCGGATTCGAGGACATGGAAGATGATTTTGAGGGCACAGAGAGAATCCACATCCGAAGTCGATGGGAATATGAGAAGAGGAGATTGAGATTGAGACGCCGCCGTTGCCGATTCGCGGAGCCTGGTGTAGAAGGACTCGACAGTCTTCTCTCTCACCATGAGTTCAGAGCTTAAACTCAGTTGGGCATAGAGATTTCAACACTTCTAAGCAAAAGAAAAGATTTTCTGTATATCCCAATTCACCGAAAAGCTAATTTCAGTTTTTTTTCAAACAATTACTCAATCGGGTACACAAATTTGAGGCAAAATAGTCGAGTTTCGAGCGGAATCTAATATGTAAATCTACAAATTGAAGTAAAAAATGAAACGGATTTGCTCCAAGAACATGAATGGAAATCTGAACCCAAGTGAAGTACCTGATATGTGTACGGATTCGAACAATGCAATCGGTTCTCTGTACACGGTTCAGCTATGGCAGATTGGCAATCAGATCTCGGGAGAGGCACAAAGGCTGAGCCCGAGAGAGGGAGGGAGGGAGAGAGAGATAAGGAGAGAGAAAGAGAGGGTTTTATTCTTTTAGGTTTCAAACAACACATCTAAAATTTTCGTTTGAGTTTTTGTTAACGTTTTTTTTAGTGAAATTTGAATTTTTTAAACGAGCCGCGAAACTTTGGCGCTCAATTAGGGAATTTGAGTTGTGTTTGGTACACGAATCCTCTGTGAGCGCCCTTACGCTGGACTCACATTATTTGTTCGGGTGGATCGTGGATGTGAGGTCAGGAGTAGTCTGGTGCAACGGTCACGATTGATTGATCGCTGACAGCGAGGCGACATTGACTGTTGACCCTCTTTTTCTCTTTTGTCGTTTTACGTGTCGGCGGCTCGCACTCTAATGTGAATTATTCTGTAATGAAAAGGAATTCATTGGGACATCATGTGCTGCGTGCCATTTGGCACACGAGAGCTTAAGTACTATTTTACGTGAATTTACTAAAAGACCCTCAACAAGGGAAAAATACTTGCCTCTAACTAGTGGGATAGTACTATTTTGCTATCCCATCAATAACATAATAACACATAAAAAAGTTATCACAGGTATCATTGTGTTATTTGCGGGGAATAGTAAAAAGTGCTATACCCTTTGCTTGAGAGTTTCTCTCCTCGACCAAGTTAAGGTTGGGTTTGTGCACACAATTTTTTACCCAAATTAATATACAAAACTTATCTATATATATAAAGGGCAGAGAATGGTAAAACATTCAAATTTACTAAAAGACCCTCAACAAGGGAAAAATACTTACCTCCAACTAGTGGGATAGTACTATTTTGCTATCCCATCAATAACATAATAACACGTAAAAAAGTTATCACAGGTATCATTGTGTTATTTGCGGGGAATAGTAAAAAGTGCTGTAACCTTTGCTTGAGAGTTTCTCTCCTCGACCAAGTTAAGGTTGGGTTTGTGCACACAATTTTTTACCCAAATTAATATACAAAACTTATCTATATATATAAAGGGCAGAGAATGGTAAAACATTCAAAATATCAGAAAATGCCCTTAGTTAATGTAAACATTAAGAATTGAAATTATTAATTAAATGAGGATAATACGATAAATTCACACTTTTTCATATTAAAAAAATTAAAATTAAAAGAAAAATCAAATAATGGATTCTATTTTTATGAAACACAACTACCCATAATACTTTTTAATTCTAAAATAAATTTAAAAATTTTATTAAAAAAAGTCTCTCGTAAGCACGTACAGAAAGGCTAGTATCTATTAAAGTATTTCTCTAATGCACTATGGTTACTTGATATTACCAATTCATTAATATTATACTCTAAATTCATGACATCAATCGTATTAATCACGTCGTTTACTCAACATCATGACAATCAATTTTAGATTTTCTTCCATTTCTTATTTTTGAGATGGGGTGCTATGTGAGGCATAATCAATTGAATCGTGCTTGATATAAAACTTCAATCCAAAACTATTTTTTGGAGTTTATCTATAATCTCTAGTAACATGCGAAATATAATGAATCCAAAAACCAAGACAAATATTGCCGGAATATATAGGAATAGAATCAAAGAATAATCTGTATCTGGTTTTTCCAGCCACATATAGGAATTAAATTGATAATATTCAATGGCACAACGGAGCTAACACAGCTAAATATGAAAAGAAAGAAGAAAAATAGAAGGGAAAAAGGAAAAGAAAGAAAGAAAAAAGATTTCCAATTAGAATGGAATGAAATCTTTATTAATACAAAACACACATGCTCAGATTAAATGAATGCACTTTATAGAAGGTACACCTCATGGACAGAGCCCTTAAAGATATTTACAGGTCCAAACACCTTATAATTTACCCACAAATTCAGAGATATATCAAATATCATTTTCTGCACCATGGAAAGCAGCAACTCTGCAAAATTGAGTCAAGAAAAGAAAAGAATAGAAATGAGACAGAAACCAGTAAGTTGTATGACAATAATGAAACCATAAGAAGTTATGACTGGATGAGCAATTGATGACACACCTTAGCATTGTCATTGGCAGCCTGCTTCCGTGCATCGTGGTACGATGACTGTGAAGGAGTGCCTGGTACTTTCCCTGCCTTCTCCTCCCGCACTTTATTGAAAATGTGAGTGAAACCATCAGCTGATGCTGGATCATTCTCATCCCACTCGCCAAATTTCGGAACAGCAGCACCTTTCTCAGGCTGCCACATTAAACAGCCACATACTCAAGAGAAAGACTTGACAGAATATTGTATCAATTTATCCCAGGAAGAAGACAATTCAGTAACAAGACCATGTATAAAACCACTCCACTTTAAGCCTTGTTGCAAACTACCAGTACAATCATTTTGAAAACCATGGTTCTTGCAACAGCAAGACTTTCTCAATCATCAGTTAAAATAAGTTTTTGAGATCATACCTGTTTACTAGAAATGGCAAATGGACAACATTTTGACAAGTTTATGCTATTATGACAATAAAATGATGGATATGAGGAAGAAAATTTACACTTTCATCACGAGGTTTAAGACGGGATCTTCCAGGAGTACCATGGCTACTTTCATATGAAGCCTTTCCTTCCCAGGAGGGAGAATCTCTCCCTGAGACCCTTGCATTGCGATGGAGAGGTGAACGTTCCACACTGTACTCAGCACTTGGTCGTGCAGGTTTTCGATGGGTTTCACCAGAACTTACTCCACGGCCTCTGTTAGGTTGATTTGCTGCCTCACCAGAAGTTCTGCGACCCAAATTTTCACGATGGGCTGGAGAGTTGGCAAATTGCCTTAGGTCATTATCCTCCCTGCTTCTTCTCCGTTCATGAACTGGTCTTTCTGGTTCAGCTCTAACTTTTGGAGGAGATGATGCGGATGAAGATATATCAGAAAGCATATCCTGGTTCTCTTGGGGGTCATTTGGATTAATCATCTTTCCCCCTGGCCCTGTTCGACCCTTACGAGCCTTATCGAAATAGGCTGTGTAAGGAACATTTTCTTCACCTTCCCAATTCCCAAACTTTGGTACATGTGAACGTTGCTGCACATTAAGAAATAGTGTCATATTTAATATCTAATACATCTAAACACATCCAGTATTCATCAGTCAATATATTTCAGTACATCATGTAGCATCACATGAAGTCTATAAGACCTCTTCTATACACAAGGTCATTCAATGGGTGAGTTAAAGTAGGCAGATGAAACCATGAACAGAAATGAGGCCCAAATTTTCAAGTCGATTTGGAAAAGTATAACAGGCGGTTCTGCATAACCACAACTTGATCTTGCTTAACCACATTATAATAAACATTCAAATAAGCACGGTTAGATCAGATCAGGGAAGAAAAAGGACATTGAGAATCTACTGCAACTCCCTAAACCTTCTCAAAGTAACGCGAAACAATACTTCTTCCACAAGCTTTGCTGGCCATCCAAAGAATGAGAATGAGGTAACAGATGGTGACCTCACTTTTTCAGGTGACCACCCTAAAATGAAGGCAGTAAATGACTGGACAATTAACTGCCCATGGAAATGAACATGTGCCCAAAGATCTACTAGATGACACATACAAATCATATCACCTCCATGATTCCCCATGGGAGTGGTATGGTTAGACTGCATGCCTATGCATTCTAATCAAAGGACAATCAACCTAATGCCTACTTTAAGTTTTTAACAGCATTTACTAGCATCAAACCTGAATTCCTTTAAACTTAGTGGTATTGGACGACTCTCTTGGCACTTTTTCCTTGCTCTACTGAGATGAACAAATGCGAATACAAGAAAGTATAATCTATAGCACCATCACAGAGCTGATGATCAGCAACTGGTTGAGAGAGAGAGAGAGAGAGAGAGAGAGAGAGATCACAGAGCTGATGATCAGCTTCCTAATCAACTGGTTGAGAGAGAGAGAGAGAGAGAGAGAGAGAGAGAATCTAAAAACAAATGATCAAATATCTAACAAGTGACAGCTTTTCAGATACCTACCAGTACTAAAAATTTCATGTATGATACATAAACCAATGTCAACCCACGAATTATTTCATGTCATTTCTCTGAGAATGCCAACATATAGAGGATATCTTATCCAAATTTCTCACCTAGTGTCTCAACATTATCAATTTGGAGACACTGTAAAATTCCTAGAAAACAAATTAACAATGATTTCTCCACCCACATAATTAAAATCTTACACTGAGAAGCCAGAGAATTTCAAATGTGAATTTGCAAACAAGAAGAGAGAGAGAGAGAGAGAGATTATCAAAATCATTTACAGCTTCAACTAACTACTAGCTCTAATACGTTTCAATTATATACATAAAACCCCAGAAAAACTAATATGGCCCCATCAAAAGATTTATTCATCTACGAATTCAGCTCAAGTTTTATGGTCCTTCAAACACGAACTCAACACCACAAATTGAGTAGAACTATTATGCAATATAAACAAAGCTCATGCTCCCATTTTCCAGAGCACAATTCTTATATGCTAATTCAACCCCATGAAAGAAACCCAATAATTCTTTTTTTATTCTTAATTATATATCACATGCACCAGCTCAAAATGTAGATTAATAAGAATTGATAAAGCATTCTGATTGAGCATCCTCTAATCTGTACTACTAGCTACTGCCCAAATAACATACGCCCTAAAATCTCTAATAAAAGAACCCAGATCAACAATATATCCACGTTTGCTACAGACTTTACATGTCAAAAAACTTAGGACAAACCCAGTGTTGCTTGTCAGAAAACAAATAAAAAACAAAGTTTTTAAACCCAAGTCTAATATATGCTCTATTTGAAAGCACATATCTTTTTGGAATCCTAGAAAAGAAAAGAAGCCCTGATCAACATAATGCATAAAATTTAGAATCTCATTCTCTTTTCTTTATCACAGCTTCCTCAGCTAGCAAACAGAAAAATCATACATTCAAAACTAAGAAAGAGAAACAAAAATAAAGCACAATAAACAAAAAAATCTGTGAACTTACTGCCATTTTTCTCTCCACCAGATGTAGAACAAACCCAAGAAATTAATGTCAGAGGACAATCTTTTGGAGAATCTTTTGGAGCAAATTCAAGTGCTGCAACCAAACACACCACAAAAATATCACAACCCCAAAAGCTCGTCCACGAAACCCACAACGACTCACCAAGACAAAAATTATTTTAGAGAGAGAGAGGGAGCTGTAGAGAGAGAAGGGAAGAGTTCCTAGAGGGGTTTATCAACCATTGACGGACGCTACCCGTCATGTTTGACCTTTCTCTATGTAGAAGTCTCTGTTTCTTCTCTGTTCAAACATCTCTCTCAACGAGTTAGAGTCTATGCGATTTCTTCAATTATACGTGCAATGCTATTGGCAGATATATTTTTATTTATTATCCCCTTGTATAATTCAAAATTATATAATAGCATATTGCCAATTTTCTTTTTCACAAATTATACATTCCTATATTTTTCACTAATTAACATTTGAAAGTAACATTATACATGTATTTCACCACTTCCCTTCTTCTAGTTCTGCTAACGAAAGTCGCTTATATCCTTGTATATGGTTGTAAATCGAAAGAGTAATCTCTAAATGAGTGTTAGTAACTGAAAAATCACATTATACGTGTATTTTACTGCTTCTCTTCTTCTAATTGTGCTAACGAAAGTCGTTAATATTCTCGTAAATGGTTGTTAATCGAAATACATTACTCTAAATGAGTATTCAAGTAACTTGAAATGAACATCCAAACATGTTGTCGTAAGCCAGTGATGCATTGTGAAATCACTTCCGAACATTACATTTTCTTTATTTTATATGCGTGTTTGCTGGTTCTCATGAGTTCATGAAAATCAAATTTTCCTTCTTGTGGGTTGAGGTTTGGAGTTATCGCGGCTGGTTTTAGTGGCGGCTGACTATAAATGGTAGGCAATTGTGAAAACTCAAATACGAAAGGCTGTGTTTGCTTGTCGGCTTCTGTGGAAACATTTCTGATATGACTCATTCTTTTGTCTTTTTCCTAAGTTCCTTTTCAGCTCTTTTATTGTTTTCATTTATCATTATTAGGTTATTATTATTGTAAACCGAAATTATAACTCAATTCACACTGTAATCAGAGTTTGATCATCCTAGTCTTCTTCTCCCAAATTGAAAATAAAAAATAATTTTGCATTATTTTATCGGATTAAGAAGTTTGATTATAATAATTTACCATGTGTAAGATTTCCATGACCAAATCCATATATAGCAGGCTAGTTTGACAGTTGGTCTCCAATATTCCACATGGCTCTTTAATTTTTATAATTTTTAACCCAACGTGGCATGCACTAGCTTTAGCTACTTTCTTATTTGAGAAGCTTTTTATTTGTATTAACTTTTTAATTATCATACATAATACACCATTAATCAACTACGCATTGTGTTGAAAAGTTTTGTTTAGGAGGGGGATTCGAATACGGGTGCAGAGTGAATAACGCATCTGCTCTAACCAACTTCTCTAAGCCCATATCTACGTATTGCTTCCATCTTTCATATAGTTAGGTGGGTTAAGGATCCTCTAGAAAGCCCAATTTGCCAACTAAGTTTTAATTTAATTAACGACAAGTGCCCAAGTTGTGCCACAATGCACCAAATTTGACCTATCTGAAGTGGGCCTGGTTGAAATAAAAACATCTTAATTTATAGAGAAGCCGATTATATGATCTTAATTAAGAACATGTTTGTTGACCATTAAGATTATTTTAGAAAGGTTAAGGAGATACAAGAATACACTTTAAATCATCTTAATATTTCATAAAACAATAAAACACCGTATAAATACTATACTAGCTCCTCGACTCGCTTACGTATATGATAATATTTATTATTTTTCTCTTATCTTTATTTATGAAGAGTTTTGTTTAGGCATAGGCTTTAAAATAAATAAATATTTACATTTATATAATATAAAAAAATAGAATGAAGTAGTTGTGATTACACTTTTATTTATTAAATGATAATAATTTTTGAATTTATTTAAAATGTAATTGGCCTTTTATGTTATATACCCCATCCGATAAGCTCGACCCAACCATATGTTTTTTCGTAGCCCCATTTGTTCGTAGCTCTTGATGTTGCTCATAACTGCAGTGATAATTGTGGGGACCAAAAATTATTAAGATGTCCAGGTGTCACAATCCAAGGAATACTCTGATTCAACCTTTGATTTGATCCCTCATAATGGGCCTCAAGCTTATTATGGGCTCCAAGAAGGCCCAAGAAAGTGAGTCAAGATCTCTAATGGGCTAAAAACTATCCAAAATAGGAAGCCCAGATTTACCTAAAACTGGTCCATGAACAACACAAGTTTATTGATTTGATTATCGGAGGGTTTTTAGCCAACACTATACCGGTGCCGTCACACCCGAGATTTGTTTATTCTCTTTGTATGTTACATTCGTAATTTTGTTAGCTTTGCACTGAATGCCCAACTACGTAAAGAATGGTGGAACTTTTGTATGATTATAGAGGCTTTTAGCATAAAGATAGTCTTTTGAACTAAGGGCCATATTGTATTCCCATCATATTTGCCCATTCTTTGGAAAATAAGGAGAAAAAAAAAGAGCACACTTTTGCTACTCTGTATTTTAAACAATTTACTTCTGCAGTCCACTAATCCTTCGTCAACTTTTTTGTTTCTCCACTCTCCGTGCTTTTTCATAAAGTTTTTACATTGAACAAAAACTCACTACTTATTTATTTATCAATCTCATTAGTTTAACTTTCTTCATACGCTTAATATAAAGTATGTGTAGGCCATATACATCATGCATGCCAACGGGTCTAATCCAATAAAAAAGACATTGACTTGCAGACAAGTGGTCTTAAGTTTGAATCTTGATGACACCTTGGTAATTGTAGAAATCCTCCAAAAGAAAAATACACCACACATGTACACAAACACTCTCAATTGGAGACTCTAACAAGAAATAACTCTCCTTTCTCCCTGAAAAACTTACTTGTAACAAGGATAATACTGTTTTACTATTTCCAACCAATAACACAATGACACTTGGAAAAGTTATTTCACGTGTCATTGCGTTATTGGTTGAAAATAACAAAAAGTGCTATTCCGTTGCGTGCAATTCTTTCTCCAACTCTCCAATGGACATTTATAATGTAGCCCATTGGGCCTATGTTTCTGATAGACATATATGTCCAAAGGACAAAAGCAGCCAAGATTATAATTATTTTTGTTTTATTTTTATTTTTAGGAAGCCAAGATTTCTGTATGGACCTGTTTTCTTGGTCTATGTTATAGCCTTGAACTTTCAAAAATGCCATATAAATAGTCAAATTTTTAGCATGTAAAGTGTGACATATCATACATGTGACAAAATAGTGGCCTTGCTTCAATGCCGAAGTAGCAAGAACTTCTCAGTTCTCAAGAGTCAAGGTCATTTGTCAAGTACATGCAAAACCAGCAAGTTTGTTGTTAAGGAAGACAGAGCTTAAAAAACAAAAAAAAGACAGAGCTTAAAAAACAGAGCAAACCCTCTTTTATTTTCAATTTTATTTTTGCGTCAATTACACTTCAAGTTCTTTGCTTTTGACTGTGCTTACCTTTACTTTTCATCCCTTAATCCTTCTTTGGGCTGGAGAAAAAAACAAAACCCATTTGCAAATCACACCCCCTTGCTAAATTAATTGATTTTCAAAACCAAATTACAACCGCTAGTTATATGAAAAGTCACTGACATGATGAGAAATGGGTTTTTGCAGAAAAGCTTCTTGCTTTCTTCATTTTCGCTGAATGCATAGATCTGTCCTCTTATAAACCCTCATTTTTGGCGATAAAACCAGCTTTTGGCTAACTGGGTTGCCTAATTTTCTTCAAGTATTCTTACCCATCAACGAAAGAATAGATTTTTGGTTGGCAATTTGAGGTATTTATTGCTCCTGTAGAAAGAGCAACTAATAAGTCTCTGTCAGGAAGCTTCTTTCTTGGTTTCTTTCAGTCTCTTCACAAGTTCATGGATCTATGATTTTTCTTGCTGAGAAATGAAACTTCTTTTGTGAGGTGAGTTTAAACTTTTATTACAAGTTGAGCAAAAATCAGAGCTTTGTAAAAGCTGCAGCTAGGTGGGTGTTGTTTGGTAGAAGCAGGCAGAGATGATTCAGCTGTTGTTCTTAGTTCTTTTTGCTGAGGGTGTTGTGGCGTTTCTTCTATTGGTAAAGATTGGGCCATTGAGGGAGCTTGTGATAAAGAGCCTGGATCAGCTCAAAATGGGTAAGGGTCCAGCTACTGTGAAAACCATTGCTTGCACCATGTCTGTGATTCTCCTGTCAAGCTTTATTAGCATTGTTAAGATCCAGAACAAAGGTGTAAAGCTTGGAACTATGTCACCTATGGATCAGGTTCTGTGGAGAACCCACTTGCTTGAGGCTTCATTAATGGGTATATTCCTGCTCATTTTTTCTTAGTTGCTTTGAGTGCTTGCTTTACTATTCAGTTTGTGAACTTCAACAGTTGGATTCTTATTTAGGGTTTCTTTTTTTAGTTGGGAAAAGAGTAGGCCAGCAAGAAATGAGTTTTGTTTCCTGTGAACAAGATTTTAAGGGCTTAAGGCTATCACCCTACGGATTGTGAGAAGGATTCACCCTAAGGCTTTATGATTTTACCATTCAATGGTTCTGCATGTATTGAAAGAATCTTTTGGCTGCGTGTTTAATATTTATTGTGTGGCTTCTTTAGAGTGTGTGTTGAAATTTGGACATGAAAAACTGGTTCTTTGAATCAGTAGAATCTGATTAAAAGGTATAGAAGTTGGCCTAGAAATCAGTGTTGTTAAGAACTGTTTCTTTCCCTTCTCTTTTTTATGGTTAAATGATGCAATCCCAGCTTACTGGTTGAACAATCAGTGCATTATATATTTCCATGTAAAGTTTGGCAATAGTAAACTTGGTCTACAAACACTTCATTCCTTCTGATTGCTGCTAGTGGCCCGCCTCTCTGGTCTTGTGCATTTAGCAATTACAGCATCACTTATCGTGTTCCGGAAGAAGTTGCATTTAGTTTACTGAAAAAAGGAATACTTAAGTTGATTATATGGTCTTCTTGAGCAAGTCACAGAAGTGCTTCATGTGTGGTGCTGGCTCTGTGATTGATCTCTGACCAGTTGAGAGTAGGTAGACTGACAGCTAACTATATATGCTTTACATTTATATCTAACAACTATTGTTTCTATCCAGTGAATGATCCTTCTTGTCCCTGATACACTTGATCTCACTTACAGGTTTTACCCTGTTTCTTGGCTTCATAATCGATCGGATGCACCATTATTTAAGTAAACTTATTGGACTGAGGAGTAACGTGGGAGCTTCAAAAGAAGAAGTCGACAGACTTCAGAAAGAGACGATGCAGCTTAAAGAAAAGGAAGATAAATCTTCCCAAGAAATCAAGCAGCTGCAAGAAAAAATTTCGACTCTATCAGAGGATTTGAAGAAGCTGAAATTGGAGTGCAAGGAGAAAGATAAAAACATTGAAACTGCTGAAGCCCATGTTGCTGCCCTCCAGAAACAGGCTGCAGATCTACTTCTTGAATATGACCGTTTGTTAGAAGACAACCAAAATCTTCAGACTCAGTCTGTAGGTTACAGGAGCTGAGTAAATTTTGAAAGACAGCCGCAGTTCAAACTTCGAGACTTATTTTGCTTACTGGTGATGTTCTTGTCTAACATCTCATGCCAGAAATGGACGTTGTTTGGTCCTTCATGAGGGAAAGATGGCAGAGTATCTTATTTTTCCCAGTTTTGTTGAAAATTTTGTAATTCTCATGAAATTAGATTTTTCACTTTGTCCATCTTTGCTTTATTCTAAGGCTGATATAAACTTTCTTTCCCTTCGGTTTTCAAGATACCCCTTTCTGATTAATATTCAAATTTAGTGGAACTGGGCATATTTCTAAATTTGACAGATTTTGCAATCTAGAAGTATTTGGTCCAATAAACTTGATTGATGATACTGCTTGATGGTTAATCTGATCATGTCAAATGGGTTTTATAGTAAAGGGAATTTGAATTTGTTAAAGAAATTTGATAATTATCTTTGCTCTGAGGAATGTTCCTCTTCAAAATTGTGCAACATAAATTCAGTCCTTGGGATATATCCCACAGCTCTCATGTCTTGATCCAACTTCTTCAGAAGTAGCATAATATCTTCATGATGTTGGTGGGTCTTATCTTCCATAAGAAAGGCATGGAGCTCTCCATTTACTTCCACAACACTATAGCCAGGCACTTTCTTCGTTCCTGTCTGTTTCATCAACTTCTTCATACCAGCTACATCATCCCACTTCCTTGCCATGGCATAAAAGTTCGAGACCAAAACATAAATTCCCCAAATTTTGTAATTCTCATGAAATTAGATTTTTCACTTTGTCCATCTTTGCTTTATTCTAAGGTTGATATAAACTTTCTTTCCCTTCGGTTTTCAAGATACCCCTTTCTGATTAATATTCAAATTCAGTGGAACTGGGCATATTTCTAAATTTGACAGATATTGCAATCTAGAAGTATTTGGTCCAATAAACTTGATTGATGATACTGCTTGATGGTTAATCTGATCATGTCAAATGGGTTTTATAGTAAAGGGAATTTGAATTTGTTAAAGAAATTTGATAATTATCTTTGCTCTGAGGAATGTTCCTCTTCAAAATTGTGCAACATAAATTCAGTCCTTGGGATATATCCCACAGCTCTCATGTCTTGATCCAACTTCTTCAGAAGTAGCATAATATCTTCATGATGTTGGTGGGTCTTATCTTCCATAAGAAAGGCATGGAGCTCTCCATTTACTTCCACAACACTATAGCCAGGCACTTTCTTCGTTCCTGTCTGTTTCATCAACTTCTTCATACCAGCTACATCATCCCACTTCCTTGCCATGGCATAAAAGTTCGAGACCAAAACATAAATTCCCAAGTCATCCGGTTTTAACTCGAGGATCTTCTTTGCTGTGACCTCTCCGATCGACAGCTTCCTATGCTTGTGGCAACCTGCCAGGAGGGCAACCCAAACAGCAATGCCAGGCTCAGTATTCATAGAATCTATTAGCTCATAAGCTTCTTCGACTCGTCCAGCACGAGCCAATAGGTCAACCATACAGGCAAAATGTTTCTCCCCGGGAGGGATCTTGTACTTATTAACCATGATATCAAACCAATACCGGCCTTCTCCTATGAGACCTGAGTGACTGAAGGCTGAAAGAAGAGAAGCAAAAGTAGCATGATCAGGTTTTATGTTCGTCTCCGTCATCTGGAGGAAGAGTGCTAGAGCTTCCTCTCCATGCCCATGAATCCCATAGCTTGCAATCATGGCATTCCAAGAGATCAAATCTCTGGAAACAATCTGATCGAATAGAGCACGAGCATAAGAAAGGGATCCACATTTAGAATACATGTCAATGACTGCAGTACCCAAAACTTCATCAAAATCAAGCCTTTTCAAAATATATGCATGTGTAGATTTACCCAATTTCAAAAATCCAACTTGTGAACATGTTAGAAGTGCACTCACAAGAGACACTGAATCAGGTTCGAATCCACTACCCTGCATCTCTACCAACATTTCAAGTGCATGCCCTGCAAAACCATTTTGAGCAAAGCCAGAAATCAAAGCACCCCAAGAGATTGCATTCTTGTAAGGCATCTTATTGAACACAGAAGAAGCTAGCTCCAAATGTCCATTCTTAGCATACATATGCACAAGGCTGGTTTGAAGCATAACATCCATAGGAAGACCTGTCCGAATCATAAACCCGTGAACAGAGAGACCCAACCTCAAGTCCCCAAGACTTGCACAAGCCTGCACTAACCCCATCAGCACAACCCCATCAAATTCCATTCCCTCATTTTGCATTGTCTTATACATGTCAACTGCTTCTATTGGCCTTCCACTCTGCACAAACCCTGTTACCATTGTTGTCCAACAAACAAGGTCCCTTCTAGGCATCTTATTGAAAACCATCACTGCTTCATCCATCTTCCCACACTTGGCGTACAAATTCAAAACAGATGAACCCACAAATACATCATATTCGTATCCGCAATTCACCGCTTTAGACCATATTTCTTCACCAGTTTTCAAGTCTAATGTGCTTGCACATGCCTTAAGGGCAACAGTGAAAGTCGAGCTATCAGGTCTAACTCTATCTAATATCATCTGATGATATAAACTTACGACTTCAGATGGGCAATATTGACGAGAATATGCGATTATGATGGCATTCCATGCATGTATGCCTCTCTGAGACAATGTATCGAACACCTTACGGGCTGACACGATATCGCCAATTCGGGCATACGTTGCTATAAGTCGGGCATAGGAGTTTCCATGAGTAATGGTACCTGTCAATATCATAACAGCATGAATTTTATCTGTGGATGCTTTATCTTTGCAGGATAAGAGGAGAGATCTCAGGCGGCTTGGCCATGGAAGCAACTGCATCTATGCATGGGAAGCCCAAAGCTTCGACTCTGTAACCTACAAAGGTTTCTGTTTATAGCCGTTGCAAAAAGAGGGAAAATAAAGACTTTTGTTTGTATAATTATTTCCAATTTTCTTTTTGCCAGTTCTTTGTGATGTAAAATGTCAAAATGAGTATTATGATAATTATACTCCGACACTCAACCATCTTCAATATTCTTTTGTTTTTAATTTTTATAAAATACCAACATAAGTGAAGCTCATTTATGAATTTGTTGTTAGGTTTCAATTTCGAAATTTGTATAGAATGTCACACTTTGAATTAAACAAAATATCAATTTTGTCTAGTGATATTTTTCTTTATTGAAATAGGTCTTATTTATGAGCTTACATATGAAAAGTCCAATTAGAAACTCTGTTAATTAATGTTAAGAAAAGTCTTAACTCTTAATTTCGTTTAAGGATAAACAAATAGATTATAGTATTTTCCGAAAAAAGAAAAAAAGATTATAGTATTTTAGAGCTAAGGTTCATGAGCAATTGGGGCGTGAAGATTCGAATTTCGTGACCTCTTCCAATATTGAAAAGAGAAATATTAACTAGATTAAGAGCTAGTTGGTGTAGATTGTATTAGTTTAGATGCTTAGATTATATTATTCTTGTTGATAATGATTTTGGGAGGGTATCCAAACCCCACAATATTGGATAAAAACGTCATACAACTTTATTAAAACACCATACCAATCTTTTATTAACAGTGGTTGGTCTTAGCTTTTACTAATCGTTAATTAATTCTTCCGTTCCTCATAATCCATTGTTAAAAAATTAAGCACAAAAATAAGAAAAAAGAATAAGAGAATAAAGTCTGAGGGCTGAAAAGACTTGACCAATTAGATTCTGTTAGTGGAAGGAACCAATTTGGAAAATTATATTGGATTCTTTTGGTCAGTGGTGCTGACGTCTTCCTTCGTTTTAGAGACTTGATCACCAAGGTGAGCATAAAGTTGGCAGTGCCTTATTCTCTCCCCACAAGTTGACTTGTGTTCTTATTAGTCTTTGTGAATTAACGGAGCTACTGATATTCTTTGTTCAAAACTTAGCTGCTGCAGCAAGACATGGATGATCAATCAGACGGCAGACAAGGCAACGGCAGAAATCTGAAGCTACCGGTGCCGGGAAAGCGCAACATACTCATCACAAGCGCCTTGCCATACGTCAACAACATCCCTCACCTTGGCACCATCATAGGCTGTAATTCACTCCTGCTCTCTCTCTGTCTGCCTGTTGTTTTGATTTTCATTTGTATTTGTCAAATGTTAAGTCGTTTATGATTCTATATCATGCATATATGTGGTGCAGGTGTTCTGAGCGCTGATGTTTTCGCTAGATATTGTCGTCTTCGTGGATACAATGCGGTATACATATGTGGGACTGATGAGTATGGGACTGCAACAGAGACAAAGGCTAGGGAGGAAAATTGCACTCCACAGCAAATTTGTGACAAGTATGGCGATGCCTTTTGTTTCTAGTTTTGCCTTGACCTGTTGAAAATGATGCCTCTTGGGTTATGACTTATGAATGAACTTTTTGTGGCTCTCGCATTTGTAGATATTATGCAATTCATAAAGAGGTCTATGATTGGTTCGATATATGTTTCGATGAATTTGGACGCACCTCCACTCCCCAACAGACTGAAGTTTGCCAATCTATTTTCAAGAAACTGATGGAGAATGGATGGCTTACAGAAAACACAATGCAGCAGGTACATATTTATGTGCTGATGTTCATCTAATGTGTAACTCTTATGCTGCATCTTTATTTGCAGAAGAAAGAAACTCACTTTACTGCTAACCTAATGGATGTGTCATTTTCTCTTTCAATGGTTTCGAATTTCAACAACAATCCAGCTCTTTTGTGAAACATGCAATCGTTTCTTGGCTGATCGGCTAGTCGAAGGCAGTTGTCCAGTGCTAGATTGCAATAATGACTCTGCACGAGGGGACCAATGCGATAAGTGCGGAAAGCTGTTGAATCCAACTGAGCTTAAGGATCCTAGATGTAAAGTATGTTTGGCCTACTCGAATTTCATACTTTCTGCCAATGAATCTTGTTGGGATTTGGTTAAAACCTGTTATATATACCTGCTTCTTCTAAACATTCCCCGGTTTTATATATACTTAAAAGTTGCAATCAACAGATATGTCAGGCAAGGCCATGTATACGTGACACAGACCACTTATTTCTAGAGCTCCCACTGTTGAAGGATAAATTGGAAGAATATATCAGTGACATTTCTGTTGCAGGATCTTGGAGCCAGAATGCTATTCAAACTACATATGCATGGCTTAAAGAAGGACTTAAATCCCGATGCATTACGAGGGACCTTAAGTGGGGGGTTCCTGTTCCACACGAAAAATTTAAGGACAAGGTTAGCACTTGATTTATGTAACTGTTGAAGAGTTTACCTTTGTTGATGTATATTTGGTAATTTGCAGGTTCCTTGGGTTTGTTAGATTTCATTTTACATTTGCAGATTGATAACTTTATTTTGCCAATTTTATGATGCTTAGGTTTTTTATGTATGGTTTGACGCACCCATCGGTTATATCTCCATCACTTCGTGCTACACGCCTGATTGGGAGAAGTGGTGGAAGAACCCTGAAGATGTTGAGCTGTACCAGTTCATGGGCAAGGATAATGTCCCATTCCACACTGTAAAAGTTTTCTCATCTCATGTATTCTGGAGTTCAGACTTCTATATCTGCCTGAAGTTTGTATGTGGTTTCCAAAATGCTTATCTGCTGTATAATTTGATTCTAGGTTATGTTCCCATCTACGCTTATTGGAACTGGAGAAAAGTGGACTTTGATGAAGAGCATTAGTGTTACCGAATATTTAATGTATGAAGCAGGTACACACGGGCAAGAATACGCAATGATCTTCGTGGAAGTTTGACATCTTCAAGTTTAAAATCATAATTTATTTCCACTTTTCATTTTCTAACATTGATGGATGATGCAGGGAAGTTTTCCAAGAGCAAGGGTACAGGAATTTTTGGCAATGATGTACAAGATACAAACATTCCTGTAGAAGTGTGGCGATATTACTTGCTAACTAACAGGCCAGAGGTAATCTGTTTTTCTGCAGCCAGCTGCTAGTGATTTCCAGTTCTTGCATTGTATTTGGATATTTGAAAATTCTAATGGTTGTTACTGATTTACGTACTTATTGAATCATGTCATGATTAGGTCTCAGACACATTGTTTACATGGACAGACTTGCAAGCAAAACTAAATACTGAGCTGCTGAATAACTTGGGCAATTTCATTAACCGAGTGTTGAGCTTCATTGCAAAACCTCAAGGTTAGTTAATTAGCGGCTGCAGACATGAAATTGAGAGAAAATTTGCTGAGTTATTGCTTCACATAGAACTTATTGCTTAACTTAAGTCATGCTTCTATGAAAAAAATTCCTGCAGGACTAGGATATGGATCTATTATTCCTGATGCTTCTGGTGCGGAATCACATTCCTTGACAAAAAGGTTTGCAGAAAGAATTGGTATATGTGTGGACCAATACATAGAAGCAATGGAGAAGGTGATTTCTTGTGCAAATGAGTCTTTCGTATATAGCTATTCTTCTATTTTTTCCATTTTTGCAATATGATTTACGAAGAAGTTGCGTTATCTCCGATCGATTTGATATAACAGGTCAAGCTAAAGCAAGCACTGAAAATTGCAATGAGCATATCCAGTGAGGGAAATGCATATTTACAAGTAAGCTCATAAAAGCTAAAGCAAGCACTGAAAACTGTCTTCAAATATTGTTTGCTTACTACATACATGTTCTGATACGTATGCAGGAGAGCCAATTCTGGAAACTTTACAAGCAAGATCAAGCTTCTTGCTCTCTTGTTGTGAAAACTTCTGCTGGACTAGTTTATCTTCTTGCATGCTTGCTAGAGCCTTTCATGCCTTCATTTTCTCTCAAGGTATGACATTATGGTCTTTTGCATCTAACACAGTTTTGCCTCATTATATTTACTCCATTCTACCACCTCACCTTGATGCTTTTGCTTTTCATGATGCATAAGGTGCTGAAGGAGCTCAATCTGCCACCCGAAAATCAATTTTCGCTTCGCGTTGAGAATGGAGATCTTGAGAAGGCAAAGAAACCATGGGAAATATTACCTGCGGGTCATAAGATTGGGACACCAGATCCTTTGTTTAAAGAACTGGTATGCATATACATTTCATCATGCATAATCCCCAGTATCCATTTCAATTCCTTTTTGCAAATGCAATGTAATCATTAAACTTCTTGTTTCACAGAAAGATGAAGAAGTGGAGGCCTTCAGGAAGAAGTTTTCTGGAAGTCAAGCTGAAAGGGTTGCTAAGGGAGAAGCTGAAGCAAGGAAATTAGCTGAGCAATTGGAGCAAACAAAAGTTTAATGCTTACTTTATGATTATATTCCCTGCTGTATGGATGCTACTACACTGGTTATGTAATCTGAATATAATTATTATGAGTTTTAAATACAATGTTTCTAAAACCAAGTAGCTAACTTCTGAATTAAAATTAGCTTCGCAAGAAAAACGTGACAGTTGGTTATGACAGTGTGCCCGTATGAATTTGATCCCCCTCCTCTCCTCGTACATTAAAATAAAATAATTTAGAATATTACTTTGTAAAGAAAAAACCTACATTTTCTCGAATTGCAAATCAAAAGTATTTTGCATAAAGGAAACTATACTTCATAAGAAGAAAGATTCAGTCATTTTGAGAATGAGAGCAGAAAGAAGCTTTTATTGAGCACTGGAACAAACAAAAAATGGAAACAGAAAAATAATCGCCGTCTGTGGGAATCGAACCCACGACCACACGGTTAAAAGCCGTGCGCTCTACCGGCTGAGCTAAGACGGCATTTGCGACTACAGGTCATAAAGTGTTTTATTTACTTGCTCGACGCCCGCTAGTTTTTCTCTAATTCCAGGCTCTCTCTAATTTTGCTCAACTCGAGTGAGAACAGCACGAGCACGAACTCGAGAGCTTCAGTGCCTCAACAACCATGGCGGAAATCACAGAACCTCTGCTTCCTGCAAAAGAAGCCCCAGAAACATCTAAACCGCAAGAGCCAGCATTAGATTTCGATCCCAAAACCATGCGCAAAACAAAACCAGGAGTCAAGCGTCTGATCCTAACTGTCTCAGTCCTCTTCTCCTTCGTTCTAGGTCACCTCTCGCTCTCTCTCTCTCTCTAGAGATATATATATATATATATATATATATATATATATATGTTTCTCTCTCTTATTTCTATTTGCTTCTTTCTTACTTTGATTTTGCATATAGGTGTCCCATTCATATACAAATCCGTGGAAATCTACCGCGCGCCATTGCCGTTTCAAGAAATCGAATCCCTCTCAGCTCAAATCGATTCCAAACCATTCCAATTCCCATGTCGTTTACAAGCAATCTTCATCGGCTTCGACTGGAAATCCTCCATTGACACTCTAGAATCTTCCATCCTCAGACAAATGACCAAATTGACCTCCCAAACTCCTCAATGCGGCACCTGTAGCCCCAACCACACTGTCTCAGTAGTCCTAAACTCAAATTCCCACTGTCTCCAATCCCGAACCGCTTCCTGTTCGCCGGAATGTGGCGCCATCCGCTCCGTTGAGTTGGACGGCGACGATGAGGCCGTAGATGAGGCTCTGGAGTCTGTGCTGGGAGGTTGTTCCAACTCGGGTTCAGGTGGGGAGGTGTATAGTGTGGTGGTGGTGAAAGGGGGCGAGGAGGTGAGAGCCGTGGTGGGCAAGTACAGGCATGCTTGGATTGTTGGTAGGGTTTCGGAGGCCGAGGCGGTGTCGAGGGCGGCAGAGATATTTGTTAAAGTGTTTGTGAATGGCGGGAAGGAGGAAGGTTTGATTCATGGAGAGTTTATGCCTGTTGGGGCAGATGGAACGGTTGTTCTTTCGTTTAATCTGCTGAATGCAGATCCACGTGATTGGGTTTATGATTGGTATGGAGCTTTTCCATAAATTCATTTTAAGCTCAATTGTTCCGAGTATCATGGTGCTATGTTAACACGATTGATTTGTGTGCATGATTATTTCTTCGTCTGAATTATGGTTAAATTTAAGTTGAATGGTCTGATAGATTATTAGGTGACTTCCATTTTGTATATGCTTGAACACTTGTTGAAATGAAGTCCAAATAGTTATCTTCAAGTGTGTTCATCATGCATTCATTTTATACCGCAGGGACTTTCAATCAGTAGATGAGACTCTGTTGGCCCCTATTATCGAGGCTATGAAACCCGTAGCAAACATAAGTGTGGAAAGTCAGGTAGGAGATCTTCTGTTTTCTTTTGAAAATGGTAATACCATTGAATTTGTGGTGTTGTGATCTGAGTTTGTTCTTTCCCTTGGGCAGGTGTTATACCATATGCCGAAGTCCTCATTGTCTTACTGGGATGACAAGTGGGACAGTTACATCTTTAGTACCAAGGATCTACCTTTCTTTGTATGCTCCATTAGCCTTTCACTTCTCATGATATGATTGTTAACTAGAGAAAAAATCATATTACTACTTGCATTTTCTTTAAATTCGTAACTGTTTGGGTACAAACTCTAAAAGACCATTAGTATGCATGTATATGTGGGTAGATGTTTGTATTGTTCAATAAATATCCATATATGTGTTCATGGACAAACTTCTTAATATGGAATTACTGTTATTATTTATAATAACAATGTTGGTTAAATTTAATAGGTGAATTCAAATGAGTGGCACTTGGATACATCCATCGCAGCTGGTGGGAGGTCAAAGATGTTGCACTTTGTGATGTATATTTCTAACTCAATCCTTTTTGTTATTCAATTAATTTTCTTGATATACTTTCTGATTGTTAGGTTGTGATCATATTGAGTTGAAATTCCCCTTCAATTTGTTGTCAGATATATCCCGTCTGCTAAGGAGTGCCCTCTTCTCCTACAGCTTCCAGATGGAGAGATTTCTAAGACAAATAGCTTTATATCTCCAGTTAGTTATTATCCCTTCATCATCTTTAAATTTAGTGTTCTCAGATTTTTCTTGTGGAATGTTCCGATCTGAATAAATTTTGATGATTGGCATGCTACAGATGTGGGGAGGCGTTATTGTTTGGAATCCCCAAACCTGTCGGAAGGATTCAGAAAGTAAGCATCCTTCTAGGCATACAATTTCGCATCAGGTTAGAAGCTTTTTATAATTTTGTCCAAGTGTATGACTTGTCCATCTCTTGAACATGGGGTTTTCAATTTAAAAGTGGAAGTGTATCAAAGCTTACCTACGTCTTTGTATTTGTAAATAATGTTACTTCATTTTCTGCCATGTTGAATTGGAAGCTCAATAGAGATCATTTTTACTGAAAAAACGTTTAAAGCTTACTGAAGAATAATTGAAATACCTACTGGAGGAGATGTTAGGATTAGATCTGTTGGAGTGGTAATATCTACCTTCTAATTTCTTTTACTATGGAGCCTTATTGGATATTGAAGAAATCAAAAGCATGTACATCTTAAGTTTCCTAATTCTATCCTCTGAGGCATATGAAAAAATTGTTTCTCTAGAAAAATGTTCAAAGTACACAAGGAAAAGAATTCGTATGTGCCACATCACAGACTAGAAGTCCATATTCTATTATCGCAGATTGATGCATGCACATTCTGAAACAGGATCTTCAGAAGGTTTTTGAAGTTTTCATGGGGCAGTTCCGGCAACTTTTTGGTTTTAAATCTGATAACCTATATGTTGGGGCTTCAGGCACATCCAGCCTTTTAGCTAGTGAAAGGGGCTTCACGGTATGGTAAGAACATTCTGGTTAAAGTCAAGTTAGAAACCTTGTGGTTTAAGCTATTTCTGGAATCGATTTTTAAGGTTATTCAGCAAAATGAGGGTATTCTTAGTGATCAGTCTTCTGCAGGGAATTGGATGTCTTATCGCGGATGCATACCTGTTTTAATCTTCATTCATGTGCTACAACCCTTGGATCTCTTTCCAGATTGGTACGTCTCTCGTCGTTTACTTTTGTTGAGTTTAGGCATTAATGAACCTATTTCTCTGATTAAGCCAGATTTGTATCAGAGTGACAATTTTTTCCTTGCAGGTTCAATCATTGCCGAGGATGATTATCATGGATGAGATTGGGAAGCAGGTGACAAATCAATAGCACAATATTTTTAATGTTCCATTTTACATCAGTAGCATAAAGGTTTCTCCAAAAGTTGTTATGCTGAAGAACTGTTGCATAATTGCATTTAGTTGTTTGTATATATTTAAAAAATTTGTTCATATCCTGATGAATAACTGAATTGGAGATCTGTCTCTCTTGAGTCGTTATTCATTTAGCTTCAGCTGTATTAAAGTCATAACTCCTCTTTATGATCAACTTAGTTTTTTTATTTTAAACTCTTGTGCTTCTAATCTGTTTCTGGATATGTTAAGAGAATAAGTAGCTAAGTTTTGCGGCCTTCTCCTTGAGCAGGTAAAGTATTCTCTGGAGGCAGCAAAGTTGGCTCAAACTAATGCCTCACATGGTATTTATAATGCTTCAGCTGGTATGTTCGTATACGCCTTGTTGATAGTTTACTTGTGGTATTCATTTCAAGGATCTGTTGTGTATATAATCTCATATTGCAAAGAAACTCAAACAAATAGTTGTTTTATCGTCAGTGTCCTCTAGGCAAGCAAGATCTCTAGCAGAGGATGCATTTTTTCATCCATCAATCATGTCGGTCAGCTACTATTCGTTCGAGCACTGTTTTGCTGTCTATTCGGTTTGTTTCCAAGACCTGCTTATTTTGACACTAAAAATTTAACGCAATGACTGTTCTGATAAGTGGTTTTGTGCTATGTGTACAGCCTTTTTTTCTGCCAGTTTCAATACATGTCCTCCTAGCAGCTGTAAGAGAATGGAGAAGGTACAAGCAAGAAAATAAGAAGTACTTAGCATGGAAGACCAAAGTGATATCATCTTGAGGAGATGATATCACTAAAATCAATTGAGTTTGACACAAAGCAAGGCTCCATTCCATTATTTGTGTTCGAGCGGAGAATAGATTAGATTGATTTAGAATAGTTTAGACAATCACTTGTATTAGAAGAAAAAGAAAATGCAATTCAACTGCCAGTGATATTTCTTGTGGCGTTGGGATTAAGTGACAAAGGAAGTAGGGAAAAGTTATGATTTTTTTTTATCCCATCCCATTACTGTACCAAATAACATGCTTCTTTTGAGCACATGCTGTGTATGAAACTATCACATTGTTGAACCAAAACAATAAAAAATGAACAAGAAGAAAATAGCAAGACGCAGAGATCATCAAGCAAGAGGGAGATGATGATGAAGTCGTCTGATCTGATCCGATCACTGGGGAGGGCCAGCAGGAGTGGAACTGGAACTGGAACGCTGAGTGAGCTCTTGGTTCTTGCTGAGAAGCTGTTGGTTTTCGCGGAGCAGCTCCTGGTGCTTGAGGCGCAGCTCCTGATGCTCCTGGACAAGCTTTTTGACCTTCTCAAACGCCTCTTCGGCTGTCTGCTTCGTCTCCTTCAGCATGTAAACCCCTGAAATTGGTGGCCTGGGGGGCGGGCAGCTTCCCCAAACCCCTCTTCATTGCTTGGAGCACCATTTTGGAGAGGAGGAGGAGGAGGAAGAGGAAGAGAGCGGCCGCTGAGAACCTGAGAGATGGAGCAAGAGAGTGATCGAAGAAACGGACTACAGGGTTTTTCCTTGTTGAATTGGGTCCGAATAAATCTCTCATTGCCTTTATAAAGGGACAGGTGAAAAATTCAAAATTTCCAAATAGACCTTGGTTGATAAAAATGTTAAAATATAAAATATTTTATTAAATAAGAATAAAAGACTAGGAGACAATCACCTTTTAGCATTCTAATATATATATATATATACTAAAAGTTATACAACTCAGTTTCTGAGGATTTTTTTTTTAAAAAAAAGAACCAAAAAAAATCATATCTAAATACCAATTATTATCCTTTCAAAAAAACTAGGTTGTCTTGGCTTTTGTTGACTATGTGCCAAGAAAATAAGAAATAAAATGGCATGGGAAAACGGAGCAAAATGGAGCATGCGCAAAGCTTGGCTCCTTAAAATTGAGGAGCTAAATAGAAGGGAGTTTCACTAAAATACCAGTTGATTTTGGGTGTATTTCTATGTTTAAATAGTGTTTGGGTATTTTTATAAATACATGTCTAGGATTGGGTATTTTTATAAATATCTAATAGAAATATACGCTACCAAATTGCACGTACTAAAGGCATGAGTAGATGGAACACATCATCTTCAAGTTATATATTTAGGGAGAGAATGACGCAGTAAATCCTTAAAACTTAAATTTCCAGCAGTTAAAAGCTAGCAAATTCACATGGTTTATATCATTAATGAGCACATTGAAGCCACTTTCAGCAATGCATACTAGAAAGAAAGAAAGAAAAAAAAAAAGAGGGGGTAAAAAAAAAAAGTTACACGCAGGTTGATACCAACCAATACAAAGCCTGCTAGACTGAGTCATACTAAACACGAAGAAATAAGGCGATGAAACAACGCCAGCCTCAAACATCAGACTCTTGATTCCAATGCCAAAAGTATCTTCTTCCTTGGGCCCTGAAAACCCCAGCAGATGAAAAAGGTTAGCTCAAAGCTACGAAAGCAAAACTCAATAAAACAACAGAAAACCCAAAATGCTGGTATAATCACCATTATTTGCGGTATACACAATCACCAGATAAAAGGAGACTAACAAATTCACTGAGAAATACACAATGGTGTGCCTAGAGTTCCTTTTCAATACTGATCTAGCATTATATAAGCTGCATTTAAGTAAAAACAAATAGTTGAACTGTTTGAAACTACACAACTGTAAACTGACAGAATCAGTTTCAGGTCCAAAGAGCAAACACCATCTGCGCCGTCAAACGATATCAGCCCTAATTGATGTTTGAAATTTTATGTTTTAGTCAAACCTCCAAGACCTTCGACTCATGTTAGGAAAGCAAAAAACACTGCAGTACTCTTTTTATTTGATTATTGTGAGGATGGTATGCTTTTTAATAGCTAAATATTACCTAATCATTCAAATTATCTTCAGAAGACTTCTATGCCACTTGTGCAGGTTGAAACAAAGGTTGTACAACATTTTCTAATACCCACCCAAAAACCAACACCTAAGCTAGCATACTTCAAATCATAAGAGCATAGCATAGGTTGAGTAGTAATTTCTTCGAAGTAAATTAAATTTTTATGGATTTCTTGGTTTTCAAAAACCACAATTGAGCATATTGATTGTTGGCATATGATATTCATAATTCATGTTTCAAGAATTTTATCTAGGAGTTTTGTTTAGTTTACCATTGGTATTCCTAGAGCCTTGAGGTCCTCATCATTCATGTGCACAAGAGCTGTCATATCCACCTGCATAAACACATGGAATTGAACACTCAAAGGTTAAAAATATTTTCTCAGAGGTAGTGATAAAAAGAATTTCAAAAAAGTCTATATAATCTTGCATACTTCCTCGGCCTGAAATGTGATGGAATATTTTTCAAGATCCAAGGACGTCAAAAATTCATCCACTGATGCGCCAGCCTGCACCAAAAGAGGCATGAGTCATGTAATTAAGAGGCAACTGCAGTAATGAGTATGTGAGTGTCTGAGTATGGGATATTAGAAAACTCAATACTTCAACCTAGCAATAAAATGAATTGTCTTCTATTGTTACTTAAAGGTATTGCAATGTAACCATAACTGTATACCACCATCAATTGATGACCCCTCTTTATGAAAGGAGATGCCGAGTGTGGGAAAGAAGTTTTATTCTTATCTTTTAATTTATTTTGGTGCCTGTTGGAAAATCCAAACCTTCAGCCGACCCCGTTTGAAGTAAGATAAAGTATAAAAACTGCTTACTTCATCCTACATTGAGACGATCTTAAAAACCAAGTCCTAATGAAACCTCCGAATTCTATGGTGTAACATCGACCCAATAATTGCTATATAAATACTAATCCCCAACCCACCCCTCTGTGTCTCAAAACGTAGAAATTTAAAAAGAAAGCAGGGTCAACATGTTATATGTCATAAAGCACGCTTCTCACTTGGTGAAACATTCTAACTATATTTTAAAGGTTATTTTATTAATTCTAGTAATCAGATATAGAGCGCAATCTCAAACACACCAAGTATGCGGGAGATTGCTAGTGTGGAATTAAAAGAAATAAAACACTTCATGCCTTTTGTGAAGTCTTCTTTCTAGAAGCTGGGTTTGTAACTTTTTTAGTCTCTTGTGCAGAGGCTCCAACTGCAGTACTTCTCCTGACTGGTTTGGCAGCTTCCACTTTTGTCTTTGGTGGATCGGCGTTCACTGGTTGTGGAACCATGGTACCAGATAGCTTTTCCCGTAGGTCCCTTACACCTGAAAGAGATCTTGTTCCACTTTGAGATGATTGTTTGAAACTTTTCCTTTGGAGCTTCAAACGAAGGTCTCGAGCATCAACTTGGCGATCTTCACAAGATATTAACAGAGTCAACAACCAAAGAAAGATGACTCAATGGAGAAAAGCAATAGCTGCAGTTTTTAGTTGCATGTAAAAGTATCATAGTCCATACTTGAAACTTGAGGATCATTGTCCTCATATAGATCATGCTCCCACTTGTCATCTTGTCTTTGCCTGCAAAATGATATGCTATCAACTCAATTATTTAACTTTTTTTTTTACTGAATACCCCTAGAACAATCAACCATTAATATATGTATTAACACAATGAAACTATTCTACAGATTGTATCCCCCTGAACTTTCAGACAAGAAGTATGTACACCATATGTGTTTAAAGCCTCTGGTGAAGGCCAAATTGCAACACCAAATGCAGTATTTTTGCAACTGCAATGATTTCATCAAGTTTGAAACTATTACCACAAGAGATCTCATTAAATCTTCAGAATTCCACAGCAGGGACCAGATTTATCGCCAGATTATCCAATTAACACACCCATGGTTTACAAAACCAGACACACAAATAAAAAGTCCACTCTGTTAATAAAATTGCCACGCAATTCCATCTTATCAAAGTAATCTATGACACTAATAACGAAAAGATCATAGATTTCAAGTACTGGCAATGCATAAAAAAAATAAAAACTTTGAAATTGTATTAAGAAAGATGAAGAGTCAAGTGGTAAAATAGGGAAAATGGTAAAAATGAGGAGTTAAACGGTATCTAAGTTTGCTTCGATATTCCATTTTGTAAAGAATCCCCATCTCATCAAAAGGGTATCAAAGGATCTGAACACCAATTCAATTGTATTATGTATACATACAAAAGATGTCTTCTGATTGCATTGCTAATAATGTGAAACTCGTAGGGATTTACTTGCATTATTTTGTTGAACTTTAATGAAAGGATTGTTGATCAACATCCAAACTTCTGCATAATGATATTACCATTATTATTATCTATTAAAATTGCTCCCGCAGGGCTAAATTCCTGGTTCTGTCACCTACTTTGACTATCTACGCGTACCTCCTATATGCCTTTATATAACCCATGTAAAAAAAGCAACAAAAATCACACTCAAACACAGAATTCAAACCTAGAACAAGTATAAACTCGTGTCCAAATGAAGAAAAATCCAAAAACCTCCACAAGAATTGTTACCCTCAATTTGTTCTTCAAAATGAAAAGGAGAGTGAAGAGAAATCGGACCTTTTTCCTGCTATTTGTCTACGGCGACCAGAGTTATCCCTGAAGCTGCCATTAAGACGGTCCTTTATCGACCTCTTGGTATCAGCTTCCTCTCGATCAGCATACATCTTCCTTATTGCTAATTACTAGAACCCTAATCCCGACCCTGAACACTAACTTGAAGCCTAACGGGTCGGAAATTGGGAAAAGAAGAACCTAACAGTCTGGAATTTGAAATTCTAGAGTAACATACAGAGAGGGAAAGGGAAAAAAAGAAAACCCTAACCCTAGTTTATCAGTGAAAGAAGAAGCACTTGGTTTCTAGAAGGAATTGAATTCCACAGAGAGAGAGAGAGAGAGAGAGAGAGAGAGAGAGGAATGAAAGATATTTGATTGAAGGCAGAGAAGGCGCTTCTGCTCCAAACAATTGAGGAGATGCCGTTTCGGGTTTCGGGTTTCGGGATCTTTTAATTTTTCGGAGAGGGTTTCATTTCGGGCCTCCGTTTCGGCGCACGATTGGAATTTGCTTATTGGTGAAGGTTGGTGCTCCTAAACGCACCATGTCAACGAATACCGCCTTTTACAATTTTGTTCCCTTTTTATTTTCTTAAATTAATTTCAGAATGTTTTGTCACCAAAATGCACCGTTTTTTCTCTGACATGCATCATTTTTGTTATCATCAGAAGACAAAAATATCTTGTTTTCATATCATTGATTTAATGTTAAAGTGGCTCGAAAATCAACGGGTAATTGTCGACAAGGTCTAGCTCACCCCGTTAAAAAGGTCCTTGACTTGACTGTCAATGGATGCTCAAATTGGTTGATATACGTAAAGTTTCTCTTCAAATTAACTCTCTAATTATAATATGGGTTTAGTTCAACATGTACAAGTTAATTTCTCCACTTTTTTTCTTTTCGATCTTGAAAGGGAAAATGAAGACTACAATATGCTTGTTAATGGAAGTTAAGACAAGTAAATAGATTAATCACACAGATGCAATGCAATGTTAATTTGAGCTCTAAATTGATTTCATAGACATATAGAACATAACATGTCAAAGTAACTACACATCACATGGACAATTGGAGTTACATAATTCTGAACTTTTTCTTCTTTTTTTTTCCGAACATAATTCTGAACTTAACTGATATACAGTTTTGGTAACCCCCTAACTGGCCTTTTCCTTTAACACAATTTAAGTTTATTTATGACATGAAACTGCTTTCTTAGTAGCAGAAAGCCACATTGTGCTTCATTTCATCCTTTAAAAGCCCCCCTTTGATCAATTCAGAAACCTCAACTAGACCAGATATAACCATTGACAATGGAGAATGTGAAACTAGTTGAGAAGGTTGTAATTGCACCAGAAAAACTGAAACAGCCCCGGAGACTTTTCTTATCAAACATAGACCTGGCCCTAGTTGTGTACCAAGAGACGATTATCTTTTTTGATCCTCCAAGCAATGGGATGAGCTTCTCCGAGGCTTATCATAGCTTGTTTAACACACTCGGTCCCTTGCTAGCTGAATATGATTTCTTAGCCGGGCGGCTTGTGCCAAGTTTGGAAGACAGCAATCGCTTTGAAATCGAATGCAACGGTGCAGGTGTTGTTGTTGCTGTAGCTAGGACAGATACCAAGCTGGATGAACTTGGTGAGCTTTTGGTACCCAAGAAAGAGTTCAGGCAGTTTGTTGCTTTCTTGCCACAAGAGGATGAGGAAATGGATCTCAAAGACAAGCCACTTGTGTCGTTTCAGGTCTGCTCTTATTGTGTTTATCATTTCACTATTCAAATAAGTCCTTCTGATCAATCTTTGGCTGTAAAATGAACAAAAGTCCCAAATTGATCACAGTAATGCATGTTTGTTGTGACAGTTCACTCAGCTTGGATGTGGAAGCCTAGTGTTTGCCTCCAGGTTCAATCATTGCGCAGTCGATGGGGTTGCAGCCCGGGAGTTTGAGGCAAATTTGGCAGCTCTAACTCGCGGTGGTAACTTAGTCATTCGACCAAATGCAGATCGAACAATGTTCAAAGCTCAAAACCCTCCAAACATCAGTTTCCCACATTTTGAGTACTCAAAAGCCACTGATAGAACTGGCATATTCACTGTCCGTGGTATGAGTGGCACCAACATGAAACTATCCACAACTCTGAACCCAACGCGCCTTATATATTTGTCCCAAGATCGTATTGCCAGCTTGAAGAAGGCAGCCCTTAAAGATGGGAAGTTGAAGAGCTGCACTAGTTTTCAAGTTGTTGCAGCAATGATTTGGAAGGCAAGGAGCATTGCGGTTGATATGCCAGCTGAAAATACCTCGACTATTTTGATTCCAGTCAATGTTCGCAAACGAGTTGTGCCTCCAGCCCCGCCTGGATTTGCTGGAAATGCATTGGTTCCTGCCTTTGCACATGCAACTGTGAAGGAGCTTAAGGAGGAAGATGACTCTTCCCTTGTGAGGAAGGTGCAAGAAGGGGTAGAGAGATTGGATGATGAGTATGTGAGGTCAGGGATAGATTGGTTAGAGGTGAATAAAGGGGTACCTTGCGAAGAAGATAGCTTCTCACTGGTGTCATGGTGGAAATTGGGGATAGAGCATGGTGAATTCTCATGGGGAAAAGTTAAGTGCGCCACGTCGGTTCTACTCAAGCCGGGCCTTGTCATGCTGCTGCCAGGACCAGAAGGAAAGGGAGGCCTCAGCATATGCCTGGAACTACCTGATGATCAAAGGGAGTTGTTCTGCAGGTTGATGCTGGGCGAATATTATACATGATAAGATGAATTCGTTTGTTTCTATATGTATACTAATTCAGCACATGAGGCCTTGTGGAGGCCTTTTCATCTCAAGAAGTTAAGGCTGTATTAGATCAACTGTTTCATTCCTCAGCTTAATATTTCTTGAACAAATAGAATGCTAATTAGTACATAAATACAGAGGAAGGCAGGACGACTATGGGAAATTTCCATAAAGTAAAATTCTTACAAGAAGGCAAGAGACTCAGTATAAGATTTCTAACATGACATTCCTAGAGATTAATCAATAATTCATCAACGCTGCATACTTTAGCCACTTTTCCTTCCAAGTTTAAGACCCAATTCATTGAACCTTGTATCACAAGTTTCTCTTGCCTGCTACAGAAGGCCAAAGAACGGGTTCGTCAATGCAGACTTCAGCTCAGAAGCAGCTGAGTTTAATGTTGCCATGTCAACCTTATTGTCAGGAAGATACAAAAACTCTCCCCCTTCAGTTGTCTCAAACCCACAGAGCTCAAGGAACTCAATTCCTCCAATCAAACTCCCAACTCTATCCTGCTCAATAAATTTCAATAAACACGAATTTAGACAATATATAACAGTTGTTAATTGTGTTTATTCTAAGCCTTTCTTTTCTAACCATCCCCAACAGAAAGAACACAAACACGCATGCGCACACACTAAGTCGGAAAACAGAAGAGATAAGTCAAAGCACAGCTTACCAAGAATAGCGGATTACTGAGTCTGATCTTCCTGAATTTTTCTTCATTAGGATTCCTTGCAACATTTCCAACATAAATCAGCAGGGTGTGGAAGGCTTGTCGCACTCTAGCATCGTCATCCTAGACCCACCAAAGAAAACCAATCGATAGGAAAATATGCCTACTAAAAGCAACATTTCTGTGATCTCCTTCTTTTTCTTTTTTGATAAGTAATGCATGGTACTAATGGGTATTGATGGTTGTTCTAGACCAATGTGTTATGAAACAAAACAGATTTTTGATATTTCAATATCTATGAGGCCCCTAATGATCCTTTTGGACTATTTTCTGTTATTCAAAGATGTAGCTCAAAGGGCAACAAGGCAAGATTACTTTCTTTCTTGTAACAACCAGTTTGGGAACCTATTACTACATTGAAAAAGCGAATCAGAGCCATATACCTTGTGGTTGCGCCTCAAGGACCGTAAACATTCTCTCATTCGTTCTGATTTTGCAACAGAACGGACTGGAAATGGATTCTGACATTTAAAGAGTAGGAAGAGAACATTCAGGATAATTTTATATTATGAAATTCCCAGCAAAAAACTATGTTTTTCAATGAGATAAATGGAACTTTAAATCTATAGACACCAGTACAAAATATTGATACCTGTTCTATCCTCACCGCAGGTGTATGTTTCTCACCTTCAAGCTGTCCTGGTGGCAATCCAAGATTGACCCTTCTTTCTAACTGTAAAGACATGCATACATTTTGAGGAGTAATTCAACACTTATGAACCCCTTTTGGGCATATGTCTAAAAGAAGAGTGGATTAGCATTATCTAAGCACCTTATCCTGTTTTAGTGTCCAGCGAATTCTTTCTCTTGCTCGTTTCTCTTCCTCTTTCTCAGCTTTCCGAAACTCCATATTACTGAGAAGATAAAGTTCTTATTCTACTCAGAAGTAGTACTAGGCTAAATGAAATAAAACAGACAGAAACAAAGAGAACAAATACTGAATTGAGACAGACCGTTTTCTTTCATTTTCTTCTAAACTTCGCTTTGCTTCTATGAGTTGCTTACCAGATTGAATCCTCTCCTGAAACAAAACAAAAAAGTTATCTGGGTTGGTTAAAACCAAAAGGAAAAAGACTTTCTGCAGCTTCAGTTTACAACATTGATGAGGGATGTAGAGAGAGTGCCTAACAAGCAAATAAACAGAATTCCAACTGCAAATTTAGTCAAATCCCAAAGAATTAGAACAAGAAAACAAGGGTGACATGCTGTGATTCAATAACGACCAACTCATTAGGAATCATAATTCCCCTAATCCGAAAAAAAAAAAAGGGAATCGAAAGTTCATCATTTATACAATCCAAATTCGTCATGATTTGGTCAAACAACAAAGATAAAAATCACATAGACAACTGAACAATACCTTCTCCCTTTCTCGTTCCAACTTCTTTTCTTCTTCTTCCTTCTTCTTGCGTGCTCGATCCCTGAAAATGTCTCAAACATCAAGTAATTTAAAGAAATCAAATATTGGAACATTAAAGAGTTGAGAAAAAAGAAATCAAACAGGCAGTTGAAACTAATGAAGAGAGAACTTGTGTGTGCATAAGTGCATTTAATGTTACATAAAACCATAAGGATGATGAGAAAGTAACCTTAACTCCTGTGCTTTTATTTTCATCCCTTCTGTGAAATAGAATGGTTCTGGAGATCCAATGCTAATGTCCACTGTTACCTGTGAGTAGTTGACCAGTTGAGAGTAAATCCTCTATGAAATCCCACAGGAAATTATTTTTTGTTATCTGTCTCATGCTTTAAAAGCCGAACACCACCAATTCGACATGTTTGTTGTAGCAATGAAAATCTGAATGCAATGTAATATAGATGCACAACCAAAGTACGATAACAAATCATACCAACGGCATCTCATCAATGTCAGCGTCATTCTCATGATCAACGATCCAATCTATAGCAGCCCCTAAACTAGCATTGCCTGGTAAAAAGGAAAAACAAATGAACCTACAAACTTGAATCTAGAACATGCATATGTATAAAAACCAAACCAAAACAAACATGAATTCAACTAAACCAAGCCTCAAATGCACACAAAATTCTTAGATCCTCTCAAGAAGAATACTTATTAAACTACCATTAGAAGCTTAAATATGGACCAAATGATCATCATAACAAGGTTGAAGAATTTCATTTAACCCTCCACCATAAACACTATTACCAGTTCTAGGCACACTTTTAAACCACAAGTAATTCAAGCTTTTATTCAAATTTTGAAAGCTGAAAATGGTAAAGGAAAAGCTTCACCAGAATAATGAAGTGCTCGTGTTGCGCGAGGTCTTGGAAATCCCATTGCTTCAAGCTCTCCAAGCATTTTCTTGTCAACTTCCGGAACAGCCATTGTTGTATTTGGGCGGGCAAGGTTTGCACTTTTCATTAGAAACTGGAGATGAAATGGGGATAGAGATAGGGAGGTTTAAATGAAGTGGGTTCAGAGAAGTCCTACAATGGAAGCCTTGTAAAGATTGGGCAGCCATTTTCAAGAGATTTCTGAAACCCTCTCAGCTTGTGAATATTTTGATTCTCAATTTATACCTTTCGGCTTCCTGGCTCTTAAGAAAAGAATAGGCCACGTAGGATTGGGCTTCTCTCTTCTTTTGTTTTTATTGGATATTTTTTTGTGTTCTTCAAATCTTCAACTGGCCCAATTTCTTTTACTGGTCTGCAACTGTGACTGCGCCAAAAATATTGTGCCAGCTTTTAGATGGAGTCAAAGCCCAAAAAAATCATTTCTATTTTTCTTTTGTTTCACACCTTCAATGATTCAAATTCAATCACAGCCGTTAATTGATTCAATCACCTTCAATATTTCACCTTCTTTACCTAGAATTTCATAATAAAAGACCTAACACTATGTCATGCTGAAAGTGTTACTCATCTGCGAAGCTTGGTCTCTATATTGCTGAATCTTGTAATTTTTCTTCAATATTTTATGAATATCGATTTTTTTATTCCTATTTTATCCGTTTTCCCATTTCGTGTTGAAGTAATTTTTTTTTTTAAGCGATATTAGATGATGGGAAATCGATTCTAAGACTCATATAGAAATAATTGTTTAATAATTTTAGTTTACAAACTTTAGTAGAAGTGGTTTAGAATGTCAAAATCGTCCCCTATTCTCTTTCCTTTTTCATCCGTTATTTTGATTTACCTTGGTTACATCACCTCCACCAGGACCCGCCCTAAAGAAAAGTTTTAGACACTTCCAGAAACCGTTGGAACTTGGAACCTACACACTCTGAGACCGATACAAAAATTTACAAGCAAAAAATAAAAACCAACTTGCTTTAGCTGGTAGCTCCCAAAATCACAGCAATAAGGATGGCAGAAAACAAAGCCAGAAGAACGATCAAGCTGTTCTGCCCATCAGTGGCAAAGACGGTGTCGTTGTTGGTATGGGAGGAGCAGAGGCTGGACTTGGGCTCCATAGCCAGAACGTTTGGGCTGGACCCACCAACCCTGAAGCTCAACGGTCACTTTATCAGCAGAGGGCTCGACCTCATCGCCTCCTCAGTCACCTGGAAGTCCCTCCTTTCTTTCTTCTCTGCTAAAGGACTCTCAACAGGGGAAAACGACAGCAGCCCCATTGTCGTTGATGGCAAGCTCTGCAAAGTTGGCACCAAGCGTAAGTTCTACCACCAACTACTTTATTATCTGTTCTGGGTAAATGGGTACCTTCAGATTTGATTGTTGGTTCTTTTCGATCATGAAAGAATGAATCTTTGATTTTGCAGGAGGACATGAACTACACCAGGTTGTTGATAACAGAGGAAGGGCAGCTTTTGAAGATGACAGCTTGCTGATCAAGAGTAAAAAGATGAGGACAAGCAACCCAGGTACATCAACTGAAAGCAATGGCAGAATTGGTATTTGCTCTTCCAAGAGAAAGCAATTGTTAGAAGATGTAAACTTGCTCAAAAAGCTAAAAATAAGTGAAACTAACCCAGGTACTGATTCATTCTGACTTAACTTTGACTTAGTTTTTCTGGGTTGTTTTTGGGTTAACTTTTTATTATAAGTTAACACAACTGGTCTGGTTCTATGGGATTTTTCAGATATCCAAGGAAGAAGTAGAAGCCAGTCCAGCAGCATCTCAGGTGCCCAACTTAGATGCAGTTATATGAGGGAGAAGATGAAGAGGAAGAGAGAAGATGAGGCAGTCGTGTCTGCTCCTTGCAAAGAGATTTTATGAAGCTTCTCATGTTTGTTTTCATTTTTATTTTTCTTGGTTCTCCTTTTTCTTTCATAGTTTGGTTTAGTTTTTATGCGACTTGATTTAACTTGTAAATGATGAGTATAATGTAAGAACAATGAAAAGACTTTTGGTTTGGCAACCTAATTCCAGCATTGACAATCATCATATGTATGTTTAATTCACTCAGGGTAAAGAAAACACAAGCAATAGATGAGAGAATTCGAAGACTGAAAATTGAAGAACAATAAATTCCTTTTGTTTAGCGTTTGTCGGCCCACAAAACTGGACAAACATAACCCAAAAATGTTGAACTGAAATAAGTACGAACTAGAAAAGAAAAGGTAAAAGGTCAGATATCAAACGGCTATGGACATGGTAGGATTAAATAAAGCCAAACACTTCTGTTCCCTCTTGAACTTCTTTTGGCAAACACAAGAACGCAAACTCTGCCAGCCCCCTTCAACTTCAGCCAAAGTTGATACCGGCTTTCAAGTTCCGTGATCGCTGCAGCATTGGTTTAGTTGTAAGCTTCCCCAGCCTCATCAAGTAGGGGATGGGAGACTGTCTAAGAACGGAATTGTTACGGTCAATTGCGTGTGTGAATAGTGTAACGTTTAGTGATGTAGCCTCATGTGAACATGGCCTACTACAATTGGGGGCTGGGGACACTCTGGGCAGTACAGTACTGAAGATACTGTAACTAAGTTCTACCCCTCATATGGATTAGGGCTCTAAAAATGGCAAGCTCATATTGTACAGTAAAGGACCTAATTGGCACCTATTGTACAATGACTTAGACACATCATCCAAAATAAACTTGCCAAAAGACAGCAATTCCAGCCATAAGTATAAAAAGTATAAGTTTTGAACTGATGAAGGTTGATGAATTGGAAGTCGGCTGATGAGATGGTCTTCCTCTCAGCTTGGCAGACACCCTAGATAACAGCTGTCGGAGCCGACCAGTTTCCTTGGTAGCTGCAAACAAACATGAGAAGCTGAACATCATAAGCCAGTGAAATAAGAAAGCAAACGCAACAGAGCAAATTACAAGTTTCTGTAGTTAATATTGGTAATTCAAGGCTAATGAATTCAATCATGCATGATGAGAAACTGTTGAGCATGATTGACTATTCTTGGTACCCATATAACTCTCAAGTGTCTCTTTCCATTTATTTATTTATTGAAAAGGAAGCAATTAACTGCATTAACTGTTAATGAAAGAGTAACAAGCTAAAAGAGGAACATTCATGCTGTGTTGTAAAACCATGAGATTTTCAACAAATATTATGATACAAATAGACAATCTAACCTTTTCTCTTTGAAGATCTTTCCTCCTCGCCAACACGCTTTCGAAGTACATTGAGCAAAGAACCAAAATACAAAGCACATACAGTGCATGTAATTGTGATAACATTGTAAGGCATGCTAAAATCAGGAGTTGTCAACGGTACAAGTAATACTTCTGTGTATGCCAGAACAGCACTGTTTTCCTACACAAATAAAGAGAGTAAACTATAGGCATAAAAATCAAGGACTGAGACATGTGCACACCAAAGAACGTATGGCAGTTAGAATACCTGGAATTTGGATAAGATGGAGGACCTATCCACAGATTTATCTGTAAAGAACTGCATGCTTGTATGGAAGTTGGGAAAGCTTATAATGGCTGCTGGAATATCGAATCCTTGATTGGCATCTGGAGGATACTCATCAATATGCAAAAACCCCTACATCGATATTATAACAGTCATAAGAAAATAAACAAGTACAGAATAAATTTAGTGTACATTCAAACTTCAGCCTATGTTCCAAGCAAATAGGATGATACAAGACTTCCGATCAACAATGCTTCAGTCAAGATTGTCTTCCATGAGCTTAGCAAGAAGTTTAACACCACAGGAATTCCAGCATAGTTATAACCCCTTGAAAATTTCTAAGAACTTTCTTGCCAAACCAATGCTATAATAAAGGAAAAAGAAATTCCAAAGCATACCTTATCAAATTCTAAGGTTATAGCTGCTGATTTCATTCCACAAGGGAATTTCAGGACCATCTCCATCACCCCAGGTGACACTTTGTCTACAGAAGGTGAAACACGCATCTTTTCAACAACATCTGAAACTTCTTGAGGTTGTTCATTAACATACACTCGCAATGTATGAAAATAAACCTTAATATACCAAGGCACAACCTGAAAAACTTTAACTTCCAATTTGCACCTGCCTTCACTCATATCAGTTTGCAACAACTCATCACTCACTTCTGTAGATCTCAAGGATATTGCAATAGCACCCCTTTCATTCCCACTTCCCATCAAGAACCTAACAGCATGTAATGGTGCTTTCTGACAGGACCAAACTACAGGAAGCTTCCAAGTTAGGCCTAAATCAAATGGCCTAGACTCACTGTACTTCTCAATATAAAATTCATATACAACAGATGGGTTCTTCTTTTCAAAGTCATTCAGTTCTTTTAATACCCTGTCCGGCTTAACAGACAATTCAAATCCAGGGTTACTACTAAAACCTTCATAGACAGATTTATCATCACTAGATAACTCATTTTCTTTCTGCAAGTAATCCAGCTGACCAACTAGTCCCCTGTCAAGCTGAAGGTATACGGTGGAAGACTTGGCAAGTACACATCTTCCAGTGACCATCCTCCCAAAAATTGAAGTCAAGGACCAGCTTGGTTGTAATTTTGTTTCATGGGAATAAGACATAACATTTCTCTCACTATCAGGCTGGACAACAACTGTGAGTGTTTGTTGTAGAACAATTCCTGAACCTCCCTCCTCTGATTCAAGTTCACTTGAGGTCAAGCGCAACTGCTGTGAATGATAAAATCCTTTGTAGATAGATGGTCTATCCATTAATGCAGAAAGCCCAGCTTTATCTCTACAAGGAAGGAGCTTCAGCCATGGAGTTAGGTTCTCAGTGCAAACAGCCTCACGGGGCAATGTACCATACCTCAGACTGCCTGGCGCTGGGCGATAGCCCCATTCAGGAGCAGAATATGTTGTAGACGATTCTAGGAAGTTGACTGAAGCACAAAAGAGACCCGAAAGAGCATGGGTTAAATTCTTCCAAGAATCATCCACCTGTTCAAGAGGGACATCAAAGACAGCCCACAACTCAACTCCAGGAGGCTTGGCATTGTTGCTTGATATGGGATCAAACCCACCCCAACGATCATAGTTCCAGCGACCTTGTGTGAAAGATAATTCCATTTCCTTAACACGAAACTTCTGAACCTGTCCAACCAATACTATCCCGCAAGTTACTTAGTAGTTTAAGATACTACCAAAATTTCATGAATTAGTAGAAAAATGTTTTAGGCAAGTTTAAAGTTGGGTTGTCCTAGCAGTAAGGATCCTGGATGTGTTACATATGGAGAAAAAACACAAAATGGTGGGATGAAGAGATTTTAAAATGTTGGTTTTAATCTGGGTTAAACTAAAAGAAGCATTTCCCAAAGCGTGGTGGAGACTAAATGGCATGCCGAAAATCTAAGTCTTGTAAGTGCCATGCCCATGCCACATTCAGGTTGCAGACACTACTAGAGAACATTAATTACAAAAACCTAACAGTTTCCTCTTGAATCATTATTAGACACTTCTAGTTTCTTTTCTTCTAAACACCAAAATACGGGAATTATGTTAGTTTGGAAACTACATGAAAAACAGAGTAGAAACACATGCAAACACAATACAAAGAGCTCAGACAAGAGCTGTCCCGATCAACTTGGCCCAAGTTGAGGTCTCGAGAGTGAAATTTATAATAAACCCTAACTTGAATCTCAATGCTGAAACTCAGACAGGTGATTTTGAACACTTACAACACCTATTCAGCTACCATACTACCTTAGGCACCATTATTAAACCAAACCCAGATGCAAGATCCAAGATTTATCAGTTTTTCCTTATCCTATGCCCAATTTAACAAATTTAAACAACAAAATTTATGCAGAGGCACGTAATGACCTACCAGCTGAGATATGGCTTTGGGGAAGAGATGGTGATGGCGGCCATTGGAGCTGGTATGCGGGGCCCTGCTTCGGAAATGGAAGTGGGCCAGCACCTTTCGATCCGGCAATGGCCTCAGAAGCAACTCCTCCGAGAAATCTTCTTCGGTGACCGATCCCAAGGCAGCTTTGAAATTGAGAATTGGGGCGAAAAGTAAGAAAGAGAGCAATAGGATCGGTCTGAGAAGAAGGAGAGGAAGGGCCATGAGGCGGAGGAGTGAGCTTGAATCGGAGTGTGGGCGTTGCGAGAGTGCTATGAGATGGGGGCCATTGGGCGCCGAGTCGGGTAGTCCGCCATGGGAGCGTAGCGGGAGTTTGGTCAGTGAAAGACTAGTAATGACTGCTTACGTTGATCTGGGCTTTTTGGATTTCTAGAGACATAAAGAATTGGCCTTTGGGCTTTTTGATCATTTTGGTCAACAAGGCCCATTATTTGTTAAACCATTTTGTTCCAAGTGAAAATATGTATTTTTTTAAATATATATATATAAAGATGCTATTATAAAATTATGTCACTTGATATTTAAAATTTGAGATTTTTTTTGGTGTTTGGACTAATATATTTTTGTTATGAAATGTATTTGTACATGGTCTAATTCCTATAATTCTTTTGCAAATAATCCCACAAATGTTCAAATGAAAAAGAAATTGATACACAATCTTTGACAACCTACATGGTTTTGATGTTATTGAGCACTAGAAATGTTTAAGAGAATTATGCATGTGTGCAGACTTGTGGAGTAATATTTTACTGTCACTGACATTTTATGTTACAAGATTATCAATCAAGATCATTATAATCAAATTCAAAAAATCAATAACAAAGATTTTAACAATCAATAACAAGAAAATGAAATAAAAATGCAGAAAACAAAACTAGGATTTCATTTGCAGTTGGAATTGAAAGACAATCAATATAACTAAAACCAAAGATTGAAAAGTTAATAAATCACACTGAGTTGTGGAAACTGAGAACTAGAATGAGACTTAGAGCAAAACTTAAATGGGAGCTTTTGAATACAGTTGCTAATACTTTGAGAGCATCAATCAAATAGGAGCGCTAGTCCATCTCCATTATCGGGGGGGTTCTTGGTTTTTATAGTTTCCAAAACAAGTGGTTCTTCGTTTTGAATAGACAAAAGCACTTCAAATACTTACCATTTATCACCGTTTTAAGACAGATTTGCTCTCAAATCCTAGAAGATCAAGGTTCCATAAAATTCGTTGGGTATTTCATGACATACGGGAACGATCTTTCACCTTGTTTTCAGATAAAATAATGAACAAATGGTGAATAAATTCTCATACGCTTCAATCTGCAGAAAGAAGTTTGTTTCTTTTAGTGACGGTTCTCTTTTACCTGCGGTTTAAGACGGTTTTAAGAACTTTAGTGACGATTTTCAGGGTGTCAATTTCAGAACTAGCTTTAGTGACGGTAAAACCCGCCGCTAGGCACCACTAAAAGCGTTATTCCCGCCGCTAGGCACCACTAAAAGTGTTATTAGCAACGGTACCCAAAACCGCCGCTAAAAGTCAGAAGATAGTGTAAACTTCAACGGCAATATCTGGACATTAGAGACAGTTTATTATAACCTTATTTTTTATCCTCATTCATTGGGGATTTAATATTGCACTCCCTCGGAGATATAGGGTACCTTTTTAAATCAATACAATGGTCATAGTTCATATATCTCCTCCTTCCATTCTCATTTGCTTGTGGTTCGTTTGAGTCTAATTCCCAAAACTTCCTATTGTTTCGAGTTTCTACCAATATGATTGTGTCCATAACATTCTTTCATGGAGCTCCGTGGTATGCAGCCAATTATGTCAAATCCTTGGTGGTGAGCTCTAAATGGTGCAAAAGTCCAATCCCTCTCAAGGCCACCATAAGCTTGCTTATATTTTTATTGGTTCAGATGGGTACGCAACTCTAATTGGGATGTTGTCCACATAAAATCTGCAGCACATAAAAAGAATAATTTATATATATATATATATATATATATGCATATACATTATAGGATAATGTTATGTTATTAGATATATATGACATGTTATATTGTTAAACTCTGAATCATAGTCGTTCATTTAGGAAACGAAAACATGAGATATGGTGTGACAAAATAAAGAACATATGGCCAAGGACTCTTACACAATTTGATGATGGTTCCGAAGATTGTTGTAGTCTTGATAATCTGCATTGGCGTCAAACCAAATGATCCTTATCATTTTCAAAAGCATTTGTCTGCAATGTGATTGGCTCTCCTTTTACTTTACCCAAGAACTCAAAGCTCATCACGAGCTTCATTACCCGAAGTTAGCTGCACACACATACACACGCACACACGCACATATATATAGAGTGGTGGCTATAGATCTTCAAATAAGTTGCAGGTCCATTATAAAATCTGATGTGCTTGGTCGACCAACTAGAGTAATAAAGTTGACACAGTAAAAACATAAGGCAAATTACATGTTCATTCTAGTATATAGTGGCAATTAGCTGACTTCAACCATACATGATGTGGTACACATGCAATTCTATAGTATCTCTATTTATTTTTATAATAAAAAAATGAAACAGTTAACTGCAGTAGGTGTAAATGAAAAAGTAACAAGCAAAAGAGGAATACTTCAGTCCTAGAAGGCGTATGGTGCCCCAACAGAACTACAAGCTTACTACCACTGACAGGGAAACTATGTTGCTAACCTTATTCCATCCTATAAGAACACTGCACGATGAAATCCAAAGAAAAACAGACTAACTTCTGAGAATAAATTAACTCAGCCAATTGTGCAAAAAATAATCGACACTGTCTCAACATCTGCAACTCATGATGTGTTCTAAATTTAATATATATGCCCTGTTGTAAAACCTATAAATTGCTATCAATATGCTAAAAACAGTCAATCTAAATGCTGTTCCTTGAAAATTTTCCTCCTCGCCAGCACGCCTTCTAACTATTTCGAGCAAATAACTAAAATACTTTAGACATACATTGACTGTAATCACCATAACTTGACAAGGCATGCTAAAATCGGGAGTTGCCAACAGTACAAGTAATACTTCTGTGTATGTCAAAACATCGCTGTTTTCCTACACACAAATAGAGAGTCGACAATAGGTACAAAAATCGATGAATCTGATACATGAATACCACCAAAAAAGAAAAAAGAGGTGGATAGAATACCAGGAATTTGGATAAGAGGGAGGACTTCTTCACAGATTTATCCTTAAAAAACTGCATGCTTGTATGGAAATTAGGAAAGCTTATTATGGCTGATGGAATATCAAATCCTTGATTGGCATCTGGAGGATATTCATCAATATGCAAAAACCCCTACATAGATATTATAACAAAGTCATACCCAAAAAAAATCAACAAGTAATAAAGAAACGAAGTGTACAGTCAAACTTCAGCCTATGTTTCAAGCAAATAAGATGATATAGGAGTTCCCAGCAACAATGCTTCAGTCAACCATTGTTCTGCATGAGCTTAGCTCACAGTTTAGCACCACAGGAATTCCCACATAGCTATAACCCTTTGAAAATTCCATATAAAAACCAATGCTATAAAACATGGAAAAAAAAATTAAAAAAAGATTACCCAAGTATACCTTATCAAATTCTAAGGTTATAGTAGCTGATTTCATTCCACAAGGGAATTTCAGGACCATCTCCATCACCCCAGGTGACATCTTGTTTACAGAAGGTGAAACAAGCATCTTTTCAACAATGACTGAAACTTCTTGAGGTTGTTCATTAACATACACTCGCAATGTATGAAAATAAACCTTAATATACCAAGGCACAACCTGAAAAACTTTGACTTCCAATTTGCACTTGCCTTCACTTATATCAGTATGCAACAACTCATCACTCACCTCCGTAGATCTCAACGATATTGCAAAAGCACCCCTTCCATTCCCACTTCCCATCAAGAACCGACTAGCATGTAATGGTGCTTTCTGACAGGACCAAACTACAAAAAGCTTCCAACTTAGGCCTAAATCAAATGGCCTAGACTCGCTGTACTTCTCCATAGAAAATTCATATAGAACAGATGGGTTCTTCTGTTCAAATCCATTAAGTTCTTTTAATACCCTGAACAGACAATTCAAAGCCAGGGTTACTCATAACACCTTCATAGGCAGATTTATCAGCACTGGATATCTCATTTTTCTTTCTGCAAATAAGGAGCTTTAGCCATGGAGTTAGGTTCTTATATACCTCAGACTTCCTGGCGCTGGGCGATATCCCCATTCAGGAGCAGAATATGATGTAGACGAATCTAGGAAGTTGATTGAAGCACAAAAGAGACCCGAAAGAGCATGGATTAAATTCTTCCAAGAATCATCCACCTGTTCAAGAGTGACATCAAAGACAGCCCACAACTCAACTCCAGGAGGCTTTGCATTGTTGCTTGATATGCGATCAAACCCACCCCAGCGATCATAGTTCCAGTGACCTTGTGTGAAAGAAAATTCCATTTCCTTAACGTGAAACTTCTGAACCTGTCCAACCAACACTCTCCCGTAAGTTATTTAGTGGTTTATAAGATACTACCAAGAATTTCATGAATTCATACAAGAATGGTGGAGTGGAGGTAATTGGAAAGTTAGGTTATGCTACCAGTAAGACTTAAAAATCCTAAATTTGAATATCAATGCTAAAGCCCATACAGTTAATTTTGGAAACTTACAACACCTATCAAGCTACCTTACTACCTTAAACACCCTAATTAAACAAAACCCAGATACAAGATCAAAATTTTATCTGTTTACGACCTTATCGTATGCCAAAGTTAACAAATTTAAAAACAAAATAATGCAGAGGCACGTAAAGACCTACCAGCTGAGATATGGCTTTGGGGAAGAGACGGTGGGGCCGGCCACTGGAGTTGGTATGTGAGGCCCTGCTTCGGAAGTTGAAGTGGGCCAGCACCTTGCGACCCGGCAATGGCTTCAGAAGCATCTCCTCCGAGAAATTTTCTTCGGTGACCGTTCCCAAGGCAGCTTTGGAATGGAGAATTGGGGCAAAAAGTAAGAGAGAGAGTAACAGGACCCGTCTGAGAAGAAGAAGAAGAAGAAGAAGAGGAAGGGCCATGAGGTGGAGGAATGAGCTTGAATCGGACTATGGGCGCTGCGAGAGTTCTATGAGATGGGGGCCGTGGGGCGCGGAGTCAGGTAGTCCGCCATGGAAGCTTCGCTGAAGGAGTTTGGTCTATGAAAGACGTTGGGGTTTGGGAGGGATTTTTTGATTTCTAGGGACAAAGACAATGGGCCTTTGGGCTTTCCGATCTTTTGGTAAAGAAGGCCCAATTGATTAACGATGATTTATTGTTATTTGTTTCCTCCAGTTTCTATTTTATATATAATTTAACAAATAAAGATTTGCCAAACCAAGTATATGAGAATTTTCTGATCTATCTTTTCGATGGGGAGGTTTTTATAGGGATATACAAAGTGATAAATCGTAAAAAGAGTTATAATACAAAATAAATCTCAATTACGACATAACTATACAAACGGGTAAATAAAAAAAATCCCGAATAAAAAAGGAAATAAATCTCGCCAATTATAAGTGCTATAGTTACTTTAATAGCTTCTTCTTGGTAAGAGATCTCAAGCCTTTAGGTCATTGATGGCCAAAATAAAAGGTTCATGGCTCAAAAATGCTTGATCTTTACAGTTGATCCCAAATATCTACGATAGTGTGTTCTTAACTTTCCATGATCAAATCTCTCCTAAAATTTGTAATAATCTTAATTATAAATAAATGCATCAAATGCTTCACCAAATCATATAAAATCCGTTAAATACATATCTTGATCATAAATCCAAAAGTTTTCAAGATAGTATCCTAAAATTCAATATCAAATCAAATATTAATATCATATATCTTGAATACAAAGCAAAGAATTAACTATGGTTACATCAATGAACACGTGTCAAGTGTTGAGAACAATGGTGAGCAAAAATATTTCCATAGCGTTAATGCGATAATGTGATCCAAAGGAAGAATAAACCCTTTTTTAAAAATCTTTAATTAATGTTAGGAGTGATGAGTTTTGCTTACAAGGGCTTCATATATAAGATACAAAATGATGATCACCAGATTACAATAATAATGAATACAGTTATATATATATCATCCCTTATCTCCTCTGTAATTTTTTTTTTTTGGGGTTAGCTAGGGTTTGAATTTTCTTAAGCCTATTAACCCTAGCTATTAAAACTGCACTCCGGGGCAGGTGTATTAGGACCGGCACAATAGTCGTAGTGCATATGTCTCCTTCTCACATCCTCATATGCCCGTCGTTGGTCTGAGTTTAGTTCCCTTATGTCGTTCCACCAATAATTCTGCCCATAACATTCGATCATGCATTGTTTTGCTGCGCAGGGGCAGCCACTTATGTCAAATCCTTGGTAGTGAGCTTTAAATGGTGCATACCTCCAATCCGTCTCATTCTGACTTGCCCATTTTGCATGCCAAAGGCTTGCTTGAATTTGCATTGGTTGTGACGGGAAGGGAACCCCAGATTTTCTGAGTTTCTTAAATACCCTAATTGGGATGTCGTCGACATAAAATCTGCATGACAGAAAAAAAAGGGTGCGTTATCAAATTGTAACAAACATGTTATATTATGAAACTGTGAATTAAATTCCCGTGTTTATGTATATATAACAATTTGGAAAAATAAAGAGCAATTTGATGATGGGGATGAGTATGTATTCTTACACAATTTGATTATGGTTCCAAAGAATTTTGTAGTCATGATACTCTGTTGTGGGGTCAAACCAGAGAGTAATTCTTTGTTCTCTACCGCCCGTGCCATTTGCAAAAACATTTGTCTGCAATAGGATTGGCTCTCCTTTTATGTTACCCAAGAACTCAAAGTCCAGCTCATCATGAGCTTTGTCCTTTACTCCGTCACCGTCGCCTGAAGTTAGCTTCATATATATAATATACATATATAAGCCACGGGCAATATTTGGAGACATTAGAGAGAGAGAGAGAGAGAGAGAGAGAGAATTAATGGGATAATAATATTCACATAAAAAGTTGTGACGACACCGGCAGAATTCCCTCGTGGTAATTTGATCCTCATATGAAAGAACCCAGAACCAAACCATTGCTTGGATACAAACGAAGCCCCTGAAATAATAAGAGCTCAAATTATCTTCTATATACAATAAATAAAGGAAAGAGAAAGTTAAATAATTACCACTATATTATATATTATATAAGATCTTCAGAAGAGTTAATTAATATCTCATGTTCTACTTATTTTTCTTAATTTCTAAGAGGTGGCTATGGAGGATCAAATTATAAAACCTACCATGCAATAAATAAAAAATGGCCTGCTTTGTGGTTTAACCTCTCATAAATAAAAACATAAAGTTGATTAATTACTCCATATCTTAACGATAAGTACGAAGCAAAGACAGCTTAAGAGAAATAAGGCATGAATAAGAAAATGGAAAGAAAATCAATACAAACAGCTCACGGAAAAGAAAAAAGAATTTATTTGGATCATTAGCATCTAACAAAAAGATTATCATTAGCATCCAACAAAGAGATTGTTATTCCATTAGAATCTAGAAGAAGAAGATGGAAATGATTATTAACCCGAAGAATTATCCATAGAAAGCCGGACTTCTCTTCCCTGATGTGAAGACCGGAAATGAGAAGAATCCGTTGTGAGCGTTCTATAGTTATGATAAAAGTTACCGTCAAGAAGGCTGGTTTCTGTAGCAAGCACCCCACCACCAATAAGGAGAAGAACCAGAAATAAACGAACCACTGAGAAAGCCATTTCTAAGGCAAAACCTAGCCAGTGAGAGTGTTTTGTGTTTCACAAAAGAAAGTAATGCATTGGTGAAGTTATATATAGATCCCTTCCTTAATTATAAACCTAGACTTAGCCCAAGCCCATGAATAAGAGTTACTAGATACGTACGAGACTCTGGATCTTATGGATTCATGTGACATTATAAGGTAACGTTATTTGTTTAGACTATTACAACTCATGCATCCTAAAATCTGGACAAAGCAAAGAAGGGTTTAGAAAATTTAGAAAGAAAGGAAGGAAACAAATGAATTTCAAATGATTCATTGTCATTTCAAATAATATACTACATCTAGTTTGTTTCAAATACATTCAATGTGGTTATAGTTGTTTCAAATACATTCAGTCTAATATGATTCTTGTTTCTTTAACGAATTTAATTTTGTTTTCAAATTCAAATTATTGCTTACAAATCTCTCCATTTTGAATGGGAGTATTAATTAGGACACTCACGAGTTGTTATATCCAAATTTTACACCGCTAAATGAAATTTCAAGCAATGAAGGAGAGGGAACTAATATTTTTCAAAAGAGGCCTAAATTTTTTGGAGGGAATTAAAATTGTTCATGCACTCCTCACAATTTAGGGCAACTTTGACAAGGATATGAAGTGGATTATGCTGGAGTTGGGCTTAGATAAAATGGGTTAAACCTAAAAATACATGTAATTAATAACAAAACAAAATTGGGGCAAATTTTACAAGTCATTTACTTTAAAAAAGCAAAAACAAAAAAGATGATCAAGATTAAAGTGAAAACAATAAAAGTTGAATATCATAATAAAAGAAGAAGAAGAAGAAGATGATGATGATAAATTAACCCGAAGCTTGATCCAAGAAAAGCACGAGTTCTCTCCCTCGATACCAAGTTTCCACATGATCAGGTTTCCCCCAGACGACTCCATAATTTTCGTGAAAGTAAACATCACGGGCAAACACACCAACAAGTTGGAGAAACACAGCTAAAACCAGCACTGAAACCCCCATTTTAGGCCAAACCCTAGAATTAAACCTAGCAGGCTACTGCCATGGTTGTGGTGGTGCAAGTTATAAATAGAGAAATATTTCTTTTGTATGTATTTTTTACCCTAAGAACTCGAAGTGGGCAAAAAGAGTGTGAGCCATAATTTTTCTCTACCTTACTGAGATCTGTTATGCCCACACGCTATTGACTTCTCCACATATGATAGCTATCTCCATAACCAACCACATCATAATTTATGCACCATCTCTTTTTTATGAAAGCAACTAGAAAAATTGCCTGCCCTTTTACCCATTTTAGTTCATATATGTTTGATGAAAAGCTATTCAGAAATCGTGTTGTTAGGAGGAGCTTGGAAGCAATGAAGTGCAAGAAAGAAACTCTATCCTATAGCTTTTCATTATTGTATCTAGCTGTGACAGTCAAGCTCGACGTCTGTGATAAGGGGATCAAATATTGTTGTATAACAAGTAACAGGTTAGAACCCTGACCTTGTTCTTATCACGTGACAAACTAAAGCGAAAAAAATCTAAATAAAAAACTGGCCAAGTATTCAATTTTGATGACTTGAATACGTGCTATATTTTAATTGGATTGTTTTGTAACTCAACACTGACACGTTCCAAGAACAGCTTCTTACAAGTTTCTGTCGCCCTCGATGGTTGTTTCTGTTGAATTGGAGTCTTGCATGCATGATGGGTTATGGATCCCACGCCATGACCCGCCATAACGATTTCATCATCCAACTTTTGTAGTATCCGGCCCTCTATGAGTACGTAGATTTTCTCATTGGCACATTTTAATCCAAACACAATCTAATCTGGATTTTGTTCCATGCATGCATTAGATCAGCCATCACTATATTTTATATATATATATATATATATTTTGACTAATGGTGAATGGGAAACCTACAAATCTATCATCATTAAACTCAAAGTGTTAATCAACTTTTAATAAACTCTCAAATCAGTTTTAATTTTGATGCCTCAGAAGATTGATGGGCTCACTTATGCATAGGTGTTTTCATGATCCTTTTGTTTTTAATACAAGAAATAAAATGCTCATCTCTCATCATATTAATGAATAGAAAACTATATGTATCTATGAAAATGCAAACTAGGATCAAGTTTTTGTATAACAAGAGAGAGAGAGAGAGAGAGACAGAGACAGAGAGACAGAGAGACAGAGAGAGAGAGAGAGCATATTTCTGAGTCACAGTACTTATCTAACAACGCCAGGAAGAAACTTACAAATGCAAACCTGTTAATTCCAACAAAGAACCTTCCTTAATTAGCTTTTTTGTCTTATACTGTAAGAAGCATTGATATGTTTGCTAATTAGCAAGGGGTTGTTGGCGAGTACTTAGTTAGGATTTTGGTTTCTTATTTAGTTTAGATTTTGGTTACTTACCCATTTATTTAGTCATGTTGTAATTTAGATTTATTTCCTATTTTATTTAGGGTTGTATTTCCTTATAAATACCTTCATATTGAAGAAAAATGCATAACTGAAAATGTACCGTACTTTGTTTGACAGAGGTGACCGATTAATCATGCATCATATACAATAAAAATATCATATCCATACAATTTAAATACTATGCATATATGTTCTTTAGAAAATACCCACCAATTGGCACTTTATGAATTACAAGTATTATTTTCCCCTCTTTAATTAATCTAATATTTCTGGTGATTATAGTTTATAATTTTTCTGAATATTGCACTCTTTGGGAAGCCCAAATGGGAATCGAGGCTTATCATTACAATAGTCATAGTTTATATAGTTCTTCCTCACATTCTCATATGCTTGTTTTTGGGTAGGGTTCAGTTCCCAATAATTCATATTGTTCCACCAATAATTCGATTTATAACATTCTTCAACGTTGGAGCTCTGTGTTGAGCACCCACTTATGTCAAATCCTTGGTAGTGAGCTCTAAAAGGTGCATAGGTCCAATTTATCTTTTGTGGAGATGCCCAATCTCCATTCCACAAGGTTGCTTCAATTCTCATTGGCTGTGTTGGGTAGGGAACTCCCAAATTCGTGTAGTTCTTGAAAACCCTAATTGGAGTGTCGTCGATAAAGAATCTGCGGAGAAAGATGAAACTGTGAATCTGAATCGGCGCACATTCAAACCTCGATCGATAATAAACAGCAATGAGAATAATGAGACGAGAGATGATTCTTACACAATTTGATGAGGGTTCCAAAGAAGTTTATAATCATGAAACTGTGATGTTGGGTCAAACCATAGGTGAATCCTTTGCTCTCTGCCGCCTACACCATTTACAAACACATTTGTCTGCAGTGTGATTGCTTCACCTTCTGCATTACCCAAGAACTCAAAGTCCAGCTCATCATGTCGACTAGTCTTTGAAGTCAGCTGCATGTAAAAACGAAAATATAAATAGGAGAAAAAGAGGTAGATATAATAACAAGGAGAATTTATATATATGGAAATTGGAATAACACTCACATAAAAAGTTGTAATAACTCCTGCAGTACTATTGTTCCCTGGTATCTTCATCCTCATATGAAAGAACCCAGAACTGTACTTTAGGTACGATCCAAATCCAGATCCTGTGCAAGTAGTAATTCAAATGTCTAAGTTGGTGCGTCATGTTGGAGTGGACTTAGATAGGATAGGCTAAATGTAAAAATATGAAAATATTTGGACCAAATTAATTATTGTGCGCCGATCGATATATATGTTATTTACTTGAAAATAAGAAGAAAATGACAATCAACGTATCGAAATGCTAAGAATAAAAGTTGATTAATCATGCATAAGCACGGAAAAACTATCTTTAATTAGCATCTAACAAAACCAAGAGGAAAAAAGAAGAAGATGATGATAACCCGAACTGCTATCCAACGAAAGCTGGATTTCTCTCCCCTGATTAAGAGACAAAACATGATCATTTCCCCATGTGATTTCATAATTTTTATCAAAAGCACTGTCGTCGTTGTTGCTTGCAATAGTGCCACCAACAAGTAGCAGCAAAAACACAAAGAAACCCAACACTGAAAGAGCCATTGTAAGCCAAACTGTGGCTAACTCTACTATTTGCAAGTGCCATTGCTGTGGTGGTGAAAGCTATATATATACATATATATATAGATGATTTCAACAGTTGAAGATTTTCCTAAAAACCCAAAAAGGGTGCGAGTCATATGTCATGATCTAGAGCCTTAGCTTCTTGTTACATGTTACCCGCACGCCACTTCTGAATAAACCAACCACATCCTTCTAAAAAGCATGACATATTAATTGGGCTTCTGTAGTAGGCTATCCTATTGGTGTTTCTAGGCCAAAAAGGGACATTGGGCCCCACTGTTCATCCTGATAAGGTTTCTGGAATTTTGGTGATTGGCATTTTGATAAGGTTTTTAACATCTAATTTGGATTTTGTAACTTATGTTCCACCAATGCATCAGCTATGACTAAATCACTTTACATTTTCTTTTTGACTAAAGGTGAACTTTTCTTCAACTCAAAATTCCATTCAATCTAACCAAGGTGGTTAGTGTGAGTGGTTCGGCACTCTCATTCCTTAAGAGAGGTCAGGGGTTCAATCCCTGCTCTCGTACGGAGTCACCACTTTGGCCAACACTTTACCTCTTACGGGCCGACCCGGTGTGAGTGGGGATTAGTCTGGGTTGTGGTTAAGGCTTAAAGGTGCCATCCATAGTTGGGGCCCATCCAGGATCACCTTATGATTCAGACCAAAAAATAAAAAAATAAAAATTCCATTCAATCTTAAACGTCTAAACGAAAGAAAATCCTTTGTGGGATCAAACCAAAGATGAAGCCTTTGCTCTCTACCCCGCGTTGCCATTTGCGAAAATATTTATTTGTAATGTGTATTTTGGCCCATCGGTACCCAAGAACTCGAGGTCCAGCTCATCATGGTTTCCAGGCTCATTATCTGGATGCGAAATTAAGTGCCATTCCACATAAATATTAGTACTAATTAATTAATATCATCTTAAATAATGCATGATTAAGTAAATAACTTTGATGATTAATCCTCACATAAAATGTGGTGACAACTCCTGGAGAATGGCTTGATGGAAATTTTAGCTTCATTTCAAAGAATCCCGAACCATATCCGTTCTTCGAATTAAACCCCGATCCTAATGAGTATTAAAATTAGAATCAAAACACAAGTATTGTTACGTTAATACAAGATAAGTATATTCATGTCAAATTGTTAGGTAAAATAGGATTTTCTTAAAAGTTACAACCTGTAGTCTGGTCCAAAGAAAGCTGAACATCTCTTCCCTGGTTTAGTTGCAAGACATGATCATTGCCATATATATCGGACGACGTAGTTTTGGTCAAAGCTAACATCATCAGCTGCTTCACCTTCCACATTATGCTTTGTGCAAACTAGTACTAGAAAAAAGATCAGAGAAAACCACATCGTGTGGGATCCAAAAAAAAACAAAGAAATTAAAGACAGGGTGTTCTTCATATAGATAAGTAATAGTATAGATTTATACAAGCTCTAATAAGAATTAAAAATAATTAAATATACTGTTTAAAAGCTTCGATATCTGCAATGTGTTGCCTCTAATTATTATTATTATTATTTTAAATTGAAATATCGAATTAAACTGTTTAAAAGCTTCGATATCTGCAATGTGTTGCCTCTAATTATTATTATTATTATTTTAAATTGAAATATCGAATTAAACTGTTTAAAAGCTTCGATATCTCCAGTCAGAAATATATTTGGTTCACCATTCAATTTAGTTAACATTAATTGAAAGGTTATACTCCCGAAATGCCCCTTGAACTTGTACCTAATTATCAATTTACCCATTGACCTTATTTTTAACAAAATTAAGGACTTGAATTAAATTTTATTCTCAATTTCCCCCTTGCCGTCCAAATCAATAACATGTCATCCAATAATCCGTCAAATCATTAAAAAAATAATTTTAAAAAAAATTAAAGAAAAAAATATATTTTTTGAAAAAATTAAAGAAAAAAAAGAAAGAAAAAATCTTTTGGACCCACCCACCCCACCCCCTGCGTCTTCTTCTCCAACCTATCCCCCCTTACCTGCAACAAAATCCCACCATTTTTTTTT